AGGCGGCGTTCTCATTTCAAAATGAACCATTTGTTTGCCGATAAAATTACTAAAGAGGCGTAAAAATTCCTGATTGTGGTACGTCAAAACGGCGCTGTGAGCGTCATTTCGCTTTTCGCTTTTAATCACTGTCCGCTTACTGTTTCGAATAAAACTTGTCGGAACACGTTTAAAAAAAGTAGATATTGCTGCTTTTGCGAGTTGCACTTGTGCTGATCCATTGGGAATGCTGACAGACGCCAACTGTTAAAATGAATTTGACGACATCTCCTACAAATAGATAACACGAGCCTTTCGTGAATTACAAAAATGAGTTCGAATAATGAAGGTATTGTCACGTTTTTAAATCAAAAGGTTCGCGCAGTGGGGTATTCGATAGTAATTCCTGATCGAAATTGTTTTTTAAAAACCTTTTGTAGGATGAGGTAACCAGAACGATAAAATTTGAAGTTGAAAATGTATAATACATATATTTATTTATTTTAATGAGTAATTTCTAATTTTTTTTTATCTAAACGGTGAACAGGCCATCAGCGAGGTGACATGGTTCGCATCTGAAACTAAAAAAAATATCCTGAGTACCAAAGATTACTAAATATATTACTTAATATCACCAGACATCACAGATAACAGATATATCTTGCATAAAATCTGGAACTGCGTTTAGAATGGTACAAACGGCAGAACACACATAGTATCTCTTTCAATCTCTAGTGCTGGTTATTCCGATCGTGCAATGGATACTAAGGGCAGAGACACGCGAAGTATCCTGTCCCGACTTTCAACAAGCAAAGGAATAACGTTTATAATAGTTCAAAGAGAGAACACACTAATATTTAACCAAATTCCTTGGGTATATTTTATAAATTAAAAATGAAACCGATCAATAAATAAATGTTTTGGTACTTTGGTATTTTGGCCAATAAAATGAAAACATCATGAAATGCAACTACTATACTCGTGAGAACACTCACCTTTAAGTCTTCGCAATTTCACGTAACGCAAACACAACCCGCAACAGTCGAATGCACGGTTAACCGAGAAATTCCGAAAAGATATTTTTTAAAATGTTACTGCACCCCAAAACTATGTTTATTTTAAATGAAGCCCTTCTACTAATCAATATTCTAACAGAGTGAAGGGCGAGAAATGCGGTTTTTAAAGAAAACATCGGGCTCACATCTGATTGCTTATTGCGTCGTACGTACTAAAATTTTAGAGGGTAGCTTAAAGAATATATGCGTCTTGTACTTTTAAATTAAGAGCAGATAATACGTCCAGTAATAATTTAATACTTTGAAGGGCGAATGAGACAGACAGGAACGCAGGCTTAGTCAAAGATCCGACAACAGGTCTTTAAGTATGCTTGATCCAATATATATATATATATATATATATATATATATATATATATATATATATATATATATATATATATATATATATATATATATATATATATATATATATATATATATATATATATATATGGACCAAACTTCCAAGTCTATAGTTTTTCTCCCAAAATAGAAATTTCGAAAAAACTGTAGACTTGGCGGTACCCCCTAGAGCCCATATTGAATTTCGAAAGTGTTCAGGCAGTAGTTTAAGAGATGCAGCTGCTACTGCACTTTTGACTTGCATACAAAACTCTTATAACAACATAACAAAATATTATAAACGATGTTATAACATGAATAATATTAAATCAAAGAAAAATTTTAATAAACAAAACATCGGAAATGATAAAATATACACATTACCACTTTATTTGAGTGATTTTAGTCTTGAGACGAGGTTATCTTGATCAGTCTGTTCCTTACATAATTTGCAAAGAACAGTATTTTGGTGTGTTGCCATAATCTCATGGTGGCAGGGATAAAATGCTATTTGCATTAGAAAATAAATATAACATTCCTAGAAGAGCAGATAGATTGTAAGAAAGTTATTTGGATTAAGCTGGATTAAAATAGACAAACCTGCCAGATTCTGTAATTAACGAATTTCGAAGCGAAGAGGAACTTGCAGATATAATGAATGAATCCTTTGCGGAGCCACAACGCAAAATACCAGAAGATAATACTATTTACAAATCTTCTGGATTCTTCCTGCGTTGATTGTTGATAAATCGAATTGGTGATATTTCAACAATCATCCCATGGGTTTTTTTAGAGCTTAACTGAAATTTTGTCTTTGACGGATTGAAGATGTTTTACATTTCTTAAGAATGTAAGGAAGGACCACATTGGCAAGGGTGGGGTTTCTTTGGGATTCGTTTTCTTTGGAAAGTTGTGGCGAAGTGTATTTGTGATGGAACGTTTAAAATCTCTAATGATGGAATACAACCGTCTGTTATAAAGGCTTTTCTCTATTATAATCCGTGAAATAATCTGTCACCCCTGTGGACTGCTGTTCACAACCTACACCTTCGACCTACACTTGCCAGTTACATTCAAAATATTACTTACCAAATAACAAAATTTCTTAAGAAATTTAACGTTAAAACAAGGTATACCCGAAAATCTCTTCGATCCGTAAGAGATTCCGTTTAGGAGCTTACAGAATTCCATCCATTGGTCGTAAAGAATACATCGAGCAACAGGACGAAAAATATTAACTAGGATAAAAGAACATGAAAGATCCTTAAGTCTACGACAAATAAACACACTAGTAGTTGACGAGCACACTCATTAAACCGGACATTAAATCTTATACCAAAGAAAAATCCGAGAATCCACAGAAATCTGTAAACAATCAAACAATTTTAACCGCGACTGTGGCTCCGCCCCCATCAAAAAGTATATATGGCGAAATGTCAGCAAGTTCGATTTCTCACGGAGGAATCCAGAAGGTTTGTAAATAGAATTGCAGAAGCCTGTGAAAATTTCTTCGAAAAATTAACAGGCTTTTGTTCCCATCCGTGCTCGATACTCTTTCAAAAATGGTTCATGACAAAGTTGAATGAATTTATTAAAATTAATAGTCTATACAAAGTGCGAATATTATGTAATCGGTATATTTTAGATTTCCACCTCATTTTAAGAAGGAAGCCTCATATGACCGTATGCCCTAAATGGCTTTACTTTTGAGATGCAGAGTGATAAAGTTTGCATCATGCCGCATTTTCAGATGCATAACTTTTTTTATTTCTACTAGTGGCGTCCGTTCGCGATTTGGAGCTCATAATTTTCAAGAAAAAAGTGGTACGCCAATGACACTTTTTCAGATAAATACATATTAATATTTGCACCAGATGCATCGGTCTGGACTAAAATAAATCACTCTTAGTTGATTTAAAATCATCTTAATTTTGTGTGTGTTAAAGCTTGGGCGAATCGCTTTAATATTGACACAGCATTAAAAAACATAATAAAATATTGGGTAGAATAAAATATTATGTTGTACTTACTACATGACCATGTACAAGCCCAATCACCGTCACACAATATGTATATATTTTTCAGTTGCTTAAAAAATCCAAGTAAACTTGTCACACTGGAATGGCATCGCTTGACCCTCCTCTCTCGACTACTAACATAGCACCATCATTCTCTTAATTTTCGACATATTGACATATAAAATATTGCCAGCGGGGTTGATGAATTTGTCGTGCAGTGAGGAATATTGGAGTCATAATTGTTGCCCGTCAATTGTAAATTGTTCGTGTGCGGGCCCCTTAATACTGCAAACGATATTTACGATTTTTTTTAGACAATTTGGTCAATTTGGTACAACCACAGACTCTTTTAAGAAATTTGTTCGGCGGACCGCATTAGCGTTTAATGGATTACACGGAAAGCTACTATTGTTTCTCAAGTCAGCTTTTACGTTGATGAGACACCGACTTCGACGAAAAAAATCGTTTCCAATTAAGTCGCCCACTATTTAACACATCAGCTCGGCTGAGCTAGCACGCCTAATTTACTGAAATGGGTTCAAACATACTACGTTTTTCATTAATATTTTCCATGTATGTCGGTTAGAGGTAATATTTATTTCATTTGATTTACAAAAATAGTCCTTCGCCGGATTATCATGTACCGTATTGAAAGTAGAAAAATACTTACAGTAAAATATATTTAAAGGCAAACATATGAATAAAAATGCCTACAGGACTATCGGGGCCAAAGTATGGAATAAAAGCTGTAATAGTAACATGATTTATTAGTTAGTATTTAAATTATCTTTTAAACAAAGGGCTACATGTTATTTTCAAGTGACTAGCATTGTGATAATGTACCTTATTAGGCTACATATAAGAACTGCTTGACGAGCATATCTGTGTTAAGGAACGCGAAGGACTTTTTTAGGTTTTCAAAAATGTCGTATTCTCTCAGGGGTTTAAATAGCAAATTCACTAAGTCTCTAAGTAACAATTACGATAGAACCTTTGATGAGATATTCAAAATGCAAATAACTTTGTAGATGAGAATCCAATTATTCGAGCGGTGACCTATTGACCCAAATATGTCTTAAAAAGTTAAAATTATTTAATTTCCATTAATATTATAACAATAAATATAACAATAATATAACAATGCTCGCGCTCCGAAGTGTTTTCGGAGCGCGAGCATTGAAGATGCCAAGTGAGATTTTGGCGAAACGTCTGCAGGATTCCAGTCGGATGCAGGATTTGCAGGATTCCAGTCGGAGTTCAACGAGCGAACGGATGATATCCCGGAGTATAGTGTCATCATATATATATATATATATATATATATATATATATATATATATATATATATATATATATATATATATATATATATATATATATATATATATATATATATATATATATATATATATATATATATATATATATATATATATATATATATATATTGCTTAGTTATATTATATGCTTTGAGTAGAAGTTTTTATTCATTTTTCGGTAATTATGAAATTTTATTTAGCTCGTCACTTTTACAAATCAAATATATTCGATAGCAATGTTAACTTGCTCCGTTTAGGCGTTGATTAAAACAACAATGTTTCAGATTCCCACCGCTCCAGCTTCCGGTTCACACCTCTAATGAGTGTTATAATCGGAATAGTGTCAGCGTTATTCATCGTCGCCCTGGTCGTTATATTGGTGCTACGATTACAATGCAGTCACCATCACGGAGATGATCGACATATCAGGAAACAGCAGAGGCATAAAAATGCCGTTGTTGGCGGTGCACCGAATATGGAGCAAAGAGGGTCTGGAAGCGGAGCGACGCTCAGCGATAAGGGAGGTAAGCAGGTGCATAAGTGCATCGCAATATTTTCAGAGAGAACGATGGCTTTTCATGCACTTTGTTTTGCGACAAAATATATACACCACATAGACGCCATTCTGTGTTACCGCATAATTTCAAAACTGACATAACTGAACTCGACACAAAATGGTGAATATAATTGAAATTTAATCCGCTTTTTGAAAATACTAATTGCATGTCCAAAATCGAAGCAGTTAATCAAATATGCCAATAAAGCAAATACAAGTTTTCTCCTAATTGGAATGGCCAAGAAATAGAAAAATATGGAAACTATAAATTCGGTGCCGCAGAATTAATGTATAATGGAAACTATCGCTTTTACAATACAAGAGATGGATATTAGCTTGATTGCAACCTGTAACAAAATAGCGATAAATAAAAAATATTTTCGGTCAATAGGTCAAACCTCCTGTGTAACAAATAAACTAAAAGAATCAATGTGTAGCGAGATGGATTGCTCCTGCGTCGGTTTATGCTGAATCGAACTTGCTAACGCCAATCATCCTGTTGGCTTCTTCAAGCTCAACAAAAACCGATGCAGGAGGAATCCAGAAGTTTTATAAAAAGCACCAATATTTTTGGTATATAATTTATATGTATGTGTATATGTATATTGTATATAAGAAACCAGCGCTATATTATGAGGGAAAAAATTACCCATTAGTTTTTGCTTTTTTATAAAACTGCTTGAACTGAATTTATCTACTTACTATACTTATTTCTCATTATATTTTTGATTTTTTAAATCTGTTTTTTAAAGTACGTCACATTTTTATTCACTGGTTAAATTATTGGCATATCTCTGTTTTCATTTTGCTAATTCTTAGAATGATAAACTTAGTTAAGGTAAACTAATTTGTAAAATAATTGAAAAAAATTCTTAAATGATCGATATTTTGGGGTTTCTTTCAGTTGCATCATTCGTAGCGTTTTGTTTCCGGTCTGAAGTTGGATCCACTTAAGTATCTATCAAAGTCAAAGTAAAAATCATCAATCATCAAAAATGATATAGCGGATACTAAATGATTAAAGGGAATTTATATTTAACATTAAACTATGCTTAGTTATTTTGTCGTATTCCCTATTTTCAGTATTAAGTTTGACGTGGCCTATTGCAAAACAATAATTTGTTCGATATCTCGATGATTTTTTGAATCAATAGTACATATACGAACATATACTTCTGAAGTTCAAAATGATTTTCAAAATCAAAATCTATAACGAAAAGGTACTTTTGTCTAATAAAGTTAGATATTAAAAAACGGGAAGACACACATTTTATAAACGCCTCTATTGAAATCAAGTTTCATTTGGCCAACATAATTTTGCCACACACAATTATATTTATTTACCAAAAACTGGTATTTTCATTAAAACTATTGACATCTACAGAATTGGAAAAATCTTAGTAAGCAATGCATTTTTATTCGGTCTAATTTACGAAACGAAATTTCCAGTCCTTTCAACTAAGCACATATTTCCATCAGCGTCCATGGACCATTGTACTGCATCTGCGACATTATGCAACTGAAATGCCCTCGGTATAGCAATAATTGCAAAGACGGAATTATTGGTGTTGCTTGAACTAAATCCTGTGCGGTAAAATAATTGGAAATTTCTGGAAGCTGCTTAAAACATGTCGCACCAAAGGAATGCTTTAACGGAAACTATTACTTGCTAGAAACAGCATGCTGTTTACCGCAGTTACACGGTAACAAATTAATAACTTCAAACTCCAATTTTACAGTTTCGAGAACCGGATAGAGTATTCCTTTGTCGGTTGCAGTTTGCCGGCTCCGATATGAAACTATAACTCTCCATTTTCTGACCGCAAAGGATTGACAAAGTTTCCCTAATACGCAAAATTGCTAAATTTTCCAGGAACGCTTTGCTTACGACTCGATTTGTGGGAATCGTTACTGCATAACAATCCTTTTGCATTTTATAATACTAAATCCCTTTAAGAGTGGTTCGCAATAAATTGCTCGCTTCAGCATTCAATACCTTACCTTTCAGTTGCTCCTAACGAATAGCATCAAATAGTTAAAATTTAATTTTACTTCCAGGCGGAAGTCCGATATCCAAACACGATTCCAGTGCAGGAGAGTGCGACAGCGACGAAAAAAATCCCGACATCATACCGCAACCCGTCGATCCGGATGACTGTTTGGACTATTCCAGAAAAAAGCAACATGTCTCCACGATAGAAACTTCACCCAGCAGAAGTTTGCTACACCAGGCAGGTAACTCTGGTTTCATGGGTTACTGTACTCTGCGCAACGGAATGCCTCTCCACGAACTAAATGCTCAATCGAAATTGGTGAGTTTTATTCTATTAAAAGTTTTTATAATATTGGCAGCTGGAGCTTTTTTCTTTCTAAATTTGTCTTAGTTTCAAAATCTCCTCAGATTTTATTCGACCTACCACTCCACTGTTTGACAAAACTGAAACCAACATGAAAAATATTGAGAAGAGATATTCAAAATCAACATGCGTAACTCAGTTCAAAACTCCTTTTCAACCAATAAAACCGTGCAATGATTGTGCGTTCTGAGAGTTCGTCAATTTGACAGTTTTATTTCATTACGAAAATATCACAGTCATCTGAAATGCAACAATTTTACGGTATTTGCGGTCCCCGTATTTTCTAATAGCTATATGGGTTAGTAGTTAGAGAATTGGAAACATGGCAGCTTGAGTTTGATGGCATTTAATAATAATATAACATAAACGTTGAAAATTAAACACTGTAAGACAGGAAGAACCACATCATTTCTCTTTTCTGTTTGGTTTATTGTAACTAACAAATCTTGCATTTTACAAAGAATACAAATTTACCGGGGCTAGCTGACTTGTTTTCAACATTATATTTTTTTGCCAAATTATTCTCCATTAACGTTTAATGTACGTTCTGCTGCATCACAATAAAAAAATAATTTACCTAATATCCAGTTTTTAACATTTTTCGGTAAAGGGGCACAGTAAGTCCACAAGTCCGGCTACGGGGTTACTTAAAATATGTAATGAGGTAAGTTGACTAGAAAATATTTTAGAAAAAAATCACGACTCAAAAAAAGCTCTTTTACACCTATAAAGAAACACATACAAATGTGTAGCAAGTACAGAAATAGTTCATGTGGAACACGTTAAGATGATAAATCATCATCTGAATTGTAGTTGACACAAACAAAAAATGTTACGTTTAAGCTGATGCACCTTACCCGTAATCCTCAGAAGAATATACCGCTTATCGCATGTTAATAAACTTGCAGCTCACTCAGAAGACGAAGATTTGTCACGTGAAGTAGATGGTTTTCTATTTTTCTTAGACTTCTTTCTTTTGACCGTTTTTTTTCTTCCTGAATCGCTTCTTTTACAATCGTATCCGTTAAAATGGCACTTTGCCGTTTTCTTCTCTTTTTCCTAATATTTTTCAGAGCATCTGTTTTCCTCAGGACTCAATATGCTGGCAGGTCGATATTTTGCAATCTGGCTTATCTGTTTGTCGATAGCTTTCACCAGTTTCATTGACATTTGCATTATTTTGATCAATCAACTCATTGTCATTTGAAGTGAACTGTTCGTTTATCTCTCTAGATGTGTTTTCGTTGGCTAAATCATCATTTACGTTTGTAGGGTCAGGTCTACCTGTTACATAGGAAGTTAGAAAGTCAGCACCAGAGATAATGTTCTCGTTCAAAGGATAAATTCCTGTTATTGAAAACTAGCCATTTTATTTGTGGGTGTATTGGCTAGGGTCAAAGCTTGCTTCCAGGGATATCGTATATTGACAATGTGTTGCTTGGATTATTGACCATCCCGGTGTCCAAGTAATACTTCTTAAGTGACCCATAAACGCTCCTATCTAAGGGCTGCAACAAACATCCAACAATGGTATGGATGACTGGGAATCATGATTGTCAAGCAGTAAAAGGGTCGGTCTCTCCTTGCAACATGTGCTTAATAAATTTACACAAAATGGTCCTAAGTTATCCTTCCAGCAGGTGCATCTCTTAAAAAATAATCTATAAAATATATAAAATAAAATAAAATATATAAAATTGAAGAACCGTATTTCCACTTACCGAAACTGCCACATTAAGAGTCAAAAGAGTTCCTCTTTTTGCTGAAACGATTTTCCTATTGGTTTGAAACCGCGACAAGCAACTATCTTGTCTGATTTCTGAACTGTGGTTATACCCCTCTCATCCACATTCCAGATGTCCATTGCTTGTAATTTGAATCTGTTATATAAAGTGTTGCCAAAAACTTGATTACAACGAAAAGTACCAGTCTGGACCAGCCATGTTTTTCGTAGACCATATCGATGGAGTATGAAGTTGTTTAAAAAGACCATACTGGTATGCGAATTTCTCGTATGCTAATCCATAGTAGATACGTGAGGCTCGTTTTATATAAGTAACTAACATCCTCTCTTGTTCAGGAGCAAAAAATTGTCATTTTAGCTTTTTTTGTATTTAGCCTTTTGCAACACTGCGAATACTTTTGCCTTCATCTACCACCATTTTACTAGAAGACCCTAAAAGGAAATTAAAAAATACAGCCGGGTTAGTCAAATAACCCCTTATATGCTTAGTCGACTAGCCCCGTACGCCTATTTTAATGGTAACAGGTGGACCAGCAAGAAAATATTAAAAATCAGGCAGAACTTAGTGAGTAGATATTCATAAAAAGTTAGAGCAAAAATATTTACTTACCGTCGATAATTCCAGGAATTTTCCTATTACCTCGATAAAAAAAGACACTAATATTGACCACATATAATAATTATTACAGTAGCCTGTGGAAATTCATTTAAAAAATCAATTATTGCAAAAGTTATTAACCCCATTAGTCAACTAGCTCCCTACCAGCAAATCATAACAAATCATAACCTTGCAACTGAAAAATAAGTTCTTTGGTACTTTCTATAGAGAAATATTAATTTTCATAACAAATTACTGAAATGTACAGAGACTTTTCCTTTCAGTGTCCTATTGATACTTCTGGGTACTAACAACGGACTTTCCGAGATTGATGTTTAAAAAATATTCAAAGTATTACCACCACTTGGAAGTTTCTTAAAGAAGACCCCATATTTTATTGTAGATTAAAAGCCTATACAAAGTTGAAAATTAATTTCGTCAACATGAATCTGTCTACAATTTATTATTATTATTATTATTATTTTGGCTTCATAGTAGAATTTAGAATCTTTCAACCAATATATGTACTTAAAATATATAACTATATAACATGCAGGGTGTCCCAAAAATGCGAATGTCATCGAAATTAATTTGTGGCGAAATAGTATATTATCATAAGCTCATCACGAACGGTGTGACTGTTACACGAGTGTTTGAAAAACAACACGAATATAGAAACTTCCATATGCTACTGTAATACTTTTTAAAAAAACATCTAGATTCCTCCTGCGACGGTTTTTGCTTAGTCGAACTTGCTGACGTTTCGCCAATCATCCTGTTGGCTTCTTCAGAGCTTGACTTGCCAGTTTCAGTTATGCTCTGAAGAAGCCAATAGGATGGTTGGCGAAACGTCAGCAAGTTCGACTCAGCAAACAAAAACCGACGCAGGAGGACTCCACAAGTTTTGTAAAAAGTAACACGAATATATTTACTGAGTAAATTATGACGTGACCATCAGTGACGTGTAAATGTCAATATCATTTATTATTATTAGTGGCTTTTGTAAACGGAAAAATATTTACGAAACTCTTGTACGTGTGAAAACGTGCGAATTCATCTAAGTTCCACCGCCAAAACAAAACCTTACATAGCTTGCCTATCCAAATTATCTGTTAGCCGTGTGTGTTTTTTTTCAATAACCGCCGCAGATATTGAAAGCTAAATTGTAGCAATAATTACATTTTGTATGTGATCTCAGCCTTTTATAAAGTTTGAAATTTAATTGTTGGCATTAATTTCGGGTAGATCTAGTAATTAAGCATTTGCGAAGATCATTTTTAATAAGAATGTAATATAATTTTTTTTTAAATCTTGTATCTCCAAAACTTTTAATAAGACACTGAACTCATTTTCAATAGATTATCTAAAAACTAAGAGGACTTCCATTTTTTTACTTTGGCTTTCAATCGAAGGCAAAGGGTGAAAAGTTGCAATTAACAATAATTGAAATACAATTTATGGAAATAGGCTTAAATTTCACTTCGCATGGAAGAGGATATTGAAGTTCGCCAGGATATAAGAGGAAAAGCAGATCCTCTTCGCTCCAGAAATCACGTAATTCGGCGAAAACAAAGGTCGGACAGGAATCGAGATTCGATAAGCTCGGAAACGACCACTATATCATGATTTTGATAATAACTGATTTCAGAGGTGAACGTATTCGGTGCCGTATGGGTTCCCCGGAATTTCTATAAACTAAAGCAAATTGCAGGGATGAAGTAAATGGAATGATTTTCCGCTTGTGCGTCACACTTTTTATGTTTTCGTATAGGGCGCAAATACGATAAGAGAGAAAAGATGTGAATTTGGAATCCCGAAAATGACATGGCGTAATCGTGAAGAACTTACGATTTGTTTTATGTATGCTTTATGATTTTTTTGTTTTCAAATTCCCAAATATTGTGTGTGATTGTCATTATTTTGCGTAGATTCCCAAGAATGAAAAATGCAGTGAACCATTTATTCTTCATTGTTTTAATAGAACTTTTTATATTAATCCATTTTTGAATTCACTGTTCAAAATAGAGGTCATGTTTTAATATTTTTTAATTACTTTTAATTGTATCAAAACCTAAGTTAATTTAAATGTTTTATATACTCGAGAATGATTTTAATAGTGAATGACAATTTTGTCATATTTCACACATTATAATAGGCTGTCCATGCAACATAATGTTCAAAAAATAAAATCTAACTAACTTATTTATTACCAACCAATGAGATCATAAGAAAAAATACAGTATTGGAGAAAAAGAGTCATCGCTTAAATTATATTCTACGTAATACAACTTCGACATCTTACAACTTAACAAGAATTGCCCGTTTTATCAAAAATTTTGTAATGTTAGTCAATAATAAATAGCAATCGCATCTTAATATTTTTTTAAACCGAAGACCATACACACAGAATACGACAACTACACAGACCAACCAACCAATTTCTCAAGTGGAAATGTCGGTTACCACAATGAGAGAAAAGAAAATTTGTGTACACAATTGTTTTGTACATAGCTCAAAGAACAAGACCACCTCGGTGCTGAAAATCTGGTAGTAAATAATATCTCAAATTACCTTAGTGAGGTGGTACATTTTAAGGTTAATTTTTCAAAGAAACCTTCACAGGCTACTGTAATACTTTTTATAAAAATTCTGGACTTCTCCTGCGTCGGTTTTTGTTGAGCCGAACTAGCTAACGTTTCGCCAATCATCCTGGTGGCTTCTTCAGAGCTTGGCTGCAACTGGCTCGCATTTTACTCTATACCTCCTTTTATATTGCTTGAGGGTGGCGGAGCTAAATGAGGGGCATAAGCACCGTCTCGGAAGACTGATTCCCATATTGGTGACCTGAGACGCGGTTAAGATTGTTAAGTTGTTTAAACATTTTTATAGACTCTCGGATTTAATTCAAGAATTCAATTCACGATTAATGACAAAGCTTTAAATCTCCGTTTATGTTCTACCCAGAATCACATTCAGAAACTTGAAAAACTAACGTCAAAACTCTTCTCAACTACCAAACACTGTTATAAATGTATCATTGCACCAACTTTCGGAAACGGAAAAATCAGTTCTTTCAAAAGGCTTTCGACTTTGTCCTTGCCCAACGTATTATCCCAAAAGTGGAAATCATTTCCAATTTCGAGTCTATTCTAAACAAACTACCTTCTCAAAAAGCTAATGACCCCAAAAATCCTTAAAAAATCAATATACCCTAAATCTAATATTGCAAAGTCTGCAAAAGCAGATGAAGACAATGCCACGGTGGTCATGAATACAAATGAATATCAGGAAAAGATTCAAGATATTCTTACAGACAGATCATATCATCAACTTAAAAAAGATCCTATGTCATCATCAATGTGCTATTAAAGCTTCTTCTTTATCAGACTCCGTAAAAAAATCTGTCACCCCTCGTCTCTACGGACTCCCAAAGATTCACAAACCAGGATTACCCCTTCAACCTATTGTCAGAACCATTGGTTCTCCAACATATTCTCTAGCAAAATATCTAGCTTGCTTATTAAAACCCTTTACAGGAAAAACTGACAGTTTCGTACTTTTCACTTTTCACTTTATTGAACAACTAAATGGTATTACATGAGGCACACAAGATATTCAGGTTAGTTTCGACAAAAGTTCTTATTCCTGAAACTCTCACCATCATTTCAGATAGATATATTAAAATCCTTGAATCTGGAACCAAACCTTCTCACCTTAATTGGAAAATGTTTGTCTGGGACATATTTCTCTTATAACGATCAAATTTTTGAACAAATGTCGGGAACAGCTATGAGTTCTCCACTATCACTAGTTATCGCGAATATATTTATGGAAGCCTTTGAAAATAAAGCTCTCGACACCTTCCATCTAAAATCAAAATTACGTTTGTTATTTGGCCTCATGTCCTAGTAGATTTTCTTAGATATTTAAACTCTCCATTACACTCTAAAATACGTTTTATCATTGAAATAAAAACTAATAACAACCTCCCATTCTTAGATATTCTTATAATTGTCATTTTGTGTGAAGAAAACCTACGCACACAGATCGATACCTTAACGCATTGTCACACCACCATCCGGTTCAAAAATTATCGGTTATCAACTGTTTACAGAGCCGTAAGACTATCTCAGCCCGAGTCATTGAACACAGAATTAAAACACCTTACCTCTGCTCTTGTCCCTAATAATTTCCACATTAAAGATATTAAGCGTTACATCACAAAATACACCTGACCACAACCTTCCAATAGCAATGAAACCGAAAGCAATCTCACACTGGTCACTGTTGTTTATTACATTCAAAACATCACTGATCACATACCAAAGGTTCTAAAGAAATATAACGTGAAAAACCAGATTTACCACTTGTCCAGACGTCTCTCAGCACCTTCGATCCGTCAAAGACAAAATTCATTCAAAAGAACATGAAAGAGCCTTAAGACTAAGACAAATAAACTAATCAGTAGTTACCGAACACAACCACGAAAATAAAATTTTATTCCATAAAACTAAAATTATTGCATGTAATCAATTCTTCTACCAACGAAAAACCCGAGAGTCTATAGAAATCTATAAGCAACCAAACAATCTTAACGCGACTCAGGTCTCTACCTGTCACCAATATGAGACTCAGTCATCCGAGATGGTGTTTATGGCTGTCATTTAGCTCCGCCCTCCTCAAACTATATAAAAGCAGGTACAGAATAAAATGATAATAAAATAAAAAAGAAGCCAACAGAATGATTGGCGAAACGTTACCTAGGTCGGCTCAACAAAATCCGACGCAGGAGGAATCCAGAAGTTTTATAAAAAGTAAATTGTAAGGTTATTAAAAATTATATAACAAATATTTTTTAATAATAATAATAATTTTTTTTTGTTTATTTTCCTTTAAATTTCAATTTGCATATTTAATAGAATTAAAGAATAAAAGGTATGTGTTTCATACTATTGTATAGACCTCAAACCTTGAGACATACATAAATTTAAAATTGTTCACTTGAAGTTCTTAGCCTCCCTTATGTACTTATGTTACAATTATGGAAATATTACTTTTATATAATTCCTCACATTTCTTAGAACACTTTGTACAAGTATCACACTGATGATAAGGCTTTTTTGAAATCGCCTGACAGACATTTTCTTTCTCCAACTTCACAGTATGTCCCACCTCAAATTTAAAAAAAAAGTGATCTCAATCGTCTTTATAATTCATTTATTTGAATGGAGGTAATTATGGCAGAATTATTTTCTAAATGCTCTTTAAAATTGTACAGTTATGGGATTAATCCAATTTCCCCTTCTCCTTAAAAAAAAGTTTTTAAACCAATCAGAATTTCTGATTTTGAGATATATTAAGCCCGCAGCAGATAATTTTTATCATCTTTCATAATCTTTAGATGTGCATACAAAATGTCAATAAGTAACATAGATAAAAGAAGCTTATTTTGAAGAAAGACTTAAAAAATGTAATTAAATAATTCTAAATGATTATGGCTCTATCACGGGCTTTAAGTCAATAGGCAGCCCTAAAAGTAATACGAATAGTTAAAAAATAGCTATTTTTAACATACTTATATGAAACACTGAAGCCTTCTCGTATAAAAACAAAATGTAACTTTTTTCATCCTTGGGAACGCGAAATAACTTTTTTTTTATTCTCAAAGACAATAAACCTAATATGCCATAAGATGTCCGGATTCATAGGCCTTGGAAAAAAGTGACAGGGTATACGGTTAAGACTTTTTCAAGATACTGCCGAGTCTTTCTTATTGGGACACCCGGTACTTTTTAGTTCTCTGACAAACGATATTAGCCATTGTCCGATGCAGGTGGATAAAAAATTAATCTAATAAACAAAAACTTTAACTAGATTAATTCAACTTATCGTTAAACTTTAAATTTAAAATTTAAAACTCAATAATAGAGTTTTCCATACATTAAAAAAAACACAATATTCCGATCAACCCATAGTGGTAGGAATAAAAAGTTTTAATTTAGTACAGTGTTTATCTCAAATACGCAATGTCCGCATATTTAAATTTTCCATAATTCACGGGCAACTTACAACTACCGATAAAATAAATGCGGTTCAGAAGGGACAAGTCGATCCCTTTGAGTAAAAGGATTCTTGTGTAGAGACTACGATAGAAAAGAATTATTAGATTTACACTTTATACGTACTGAAAGATTCTGTGGCAATATATAACTAGGTGGCAGAGAGCGAGCAACAGTTACAGGTTTTCGGCACCCTTATTACATTTAAGCCTGAGACTTAACTTATAAAAGGTCTGTCGCATTTTGGATACCTAAAAGGCATTCCCCCGCGAGCAAGTAAGGATTTAAGGGATGGAATGTCACGTTTGGAAATTTATTTCGGTCGCAAATGCCAGCCGCGCGAAATAAAAGTCCAAAATAAAAAATCCTTAAATGAGAAAGGGGATGCGCGACTAAGCGATGTAATTACAACGCGTTTGGCTTATATCTGCTTGGTGTTCTATGGTTATTAAACATTCCATTACTTTTATGTTACACAGGGTGTCCCATATATCATTGTCCAAACTCAATAGAAAATCATTTCTGACCAAAAAGTTTATTTCATTGAAATTTGATAGTGTTGTTCACTGTATTGTGGATAATTATGTTGTACGAACTTCGCGACGAGCACCTAAATCACTACTTTGGACAATAAAATATCTCTCAAATCCTGCTCTAATGGACGTTTAATTTCTTTCTTAAAAAAAGTATTTAAACAGAAAAATAATGGTTAGACTTCCCCACGGCGCTACTGCTATTCATTCGAAAGTGATAAATTTACGCTCTATCGCAGCGAACAACACTGCCGAACTTTAACAAAATAATAATAATAAACCTTACATATATTGTTTAAAAAAATTGAACCCTCTATCGTGAAAATAATACCCTTTAGGAAAAATTAAATGTATTGATTACAGCTATTGTTATCAACAAGGTTACTAGTACTCATACACAGATTTTTATTCTTTTGTTTTTGTTTTAATTTGTCTAAAATTAGCCGTTAAATAATATTAGTTATTCCAAATTCAGTAAAAATACTTCTTAAAATATTAAAAACTTGAAATGTCGCTAGTAAGTATTGTTTTCAAAAGAGGTTTTTAGTATAATTCTTAGGTCTTCATTAATCGTATGCGGTGAGTTCATTTCTTGGAGAAATCAAAGTGTTCAAACATTTACAAGGCTATTTTATGAGACACCTTGTATAATCAATCGTATGCAACATTTTGAAGATTAAGATAAATACGGCATTATCTTTGGCTACAAATACAAATACAAAAAAAAATCGTTCTCTTGGATCAAACAATAAAGATCAAAATATTTCTAATTAATATCTTGAAAATTCATCCCATCATTATTTTTTATAGATGCTGTTTCCTGACTTGACTTCCTTGTACTTTATCACTTACGACACTTAATGTTCGAAGTATGACGAAAAAAAAATCTGCACTATTGCGTCTAGTATATCTATCACCTCTAAACGAAAATGAATACATCTGCGCATCGGCATCACCTGTGCAATTGACAATTTGAGGGTCAACCGGTTCAGAAGGGGGTTAACTTTCAAAGCAACATTGATCGCGAGCACATTTGTGAATAATATCAAACTTCGATGTGAACAGAACCACATCACTTTAAAAATAAGTTCCACCACAACGTTCTTCAATCATTTTGTAAACTTTTTTTTTAGTTACCCGCTCCAGCGCAAATGATCAATCCTTACAACACATCATGTACACTGCCCCGTCAGCCTCCACAGCCGTGGCAATACGGACCAGTCAGCCACTTGCCTCCAGGAGTTTACCCTTTGTCGTATCGCGGTGTACCACTGCAACAGCAGAGGTTAAGGTCTACCCAAACTCGAGAACCACCCATACCGATGCAACCACTGGCGACAGCGGCTGAAGAAGAACCGTCACCCGAAACGCCACTCATGGCGAACAAGAGAGAGAGCACCGTTTGACAAATGACACCGCTCTAAAGAGTATAATTTTAGGATTTACGGACAAAAGCTTTCATTTGCTTAAACAATTAAGACAGGGTTTACTTAGGTCAACTAAACAAAACGTGCGTGAACGCGATCTGTTTGTTTTTAAATGTGAAAGTAGGTTTAAGTGTTTTGTAATTATATTATGAATATACTGCCATGAAGTGAAATATTTTTTCGTACTTGTAGTATATCTTCTTAACCGACTATGAAACCTTATCGACCGTAGTACAGGCCTCTTTTTGATTTCTGGTTAGCTTATACTTCATGGTCGTCGTTTTGCTCTGCGATCGATAAATATTTAATTTTCTAGAACAATTATTGTTAAAACAAGTTGAAAAATTACTCAGTTAATAATCCGAAATCGAAAGAAGTGCTGTACTGTGGTCTGTTATACCCTATAGAGACCCGACAAGTCGTAGTTAGCAGCCATGAACAAAATCGCAATCTAAACGCACGTGATTTCATCTGGAGTCCAGCCAGTCAAATTTATTAATTAACAGTTTTTACAATCGTGTCCATAAACTTATAAATACTATATTTAAATAAAAGCAATTTTATAAATGATTTGTCGTGACTCCTTTGGATTGAAAATAACATTTTTTCACCCTGCTTTTAGAACCACACAACTTTATTATTATGAATATGGTTAATTGAATGTTAAAAAAACTCTCATGGCATTTACGTTTTTAAATATTTGTGTTTTTTATCATCACCGTTGTAACTTGAAATTGTTATTCCCAGAAATATTCACATAATTTTGCGCCTTTCTGATCGATCCACAAGGTGTTAACCCTTTCGGATTTAAGACTTCTGCGCCATTCGAAATATTTATTTCTGTGTATAAATAATTGTTAAAAACTTCATAAAAAAGACATATCTATGCTATTACGTATGCACTACATTGGAAACTTTTTTGGTTGGCCGAAAGATCGCACTTTTATCAGTTTTAAAGTAATCGATTCAGTAAACTTATTTAATATTAAAAGTAGAGGGAAATAAAGGTAATTAAAATGAGAGAAAGCTATCTAAGGAAATTTAAAGTAATTAATGCAAAACCAGGTCACGATTTTTCAGCTTTCTTAGGTATAAGCTATGGTCGTTAACCGAAGAGATGGGAATGGTACCTTTGGATATTTGACGATACTTTCTTTCTATTTATCAAGCAAGAAGAAAATCATGTTGCGTTTTCAAGGCATTTAGAGACACTGGAAAAGAGAAAAGCAAAACTGAGAACTGTTGTCAAAAATCCATATCTACAAAACAAAAAGGATTTCAGTGTAGGATTATGATTTCATGGAACAAATTATGTAACACGCAATGTATTTTTTTAAAGTAATTCATCATCCTTTGATATGTCAAAAGTATTTTTGTCATTGGTTAAACACAAATTTTAATTTTTTACTGGCTAAAAGAAATATGGATAACTCAAAAACTAAATTTCCAAAGCGAAAAATATATATGGTGATGGTATCGAAAATTTAGATATTAGAATTGAAATCTATTTTTTCTAAATTAAGTAAAAAAATTTACAAGCATTTAAGGTGAAAAGGAGTTAAAAATTGTAATTAGTGAAATTAGAGAAAAATGCAGTACTGATAATCCTGTATAACGAAGAGGAAACAATATAAAAAGTTTCTTCCAAAATGAAGCAATTATGTGCCCAATATCATTTTTAATTTTGCTGTTGTGTACCGTCCTGTTCATTAAAAACCCTTACACTTAATTTGACGGGGTGTTAGTAGTTAGTAGTGTTATTTTTGGCATTTAATTTTAACAATGTATCATGTCAATTATTGATAGACGTCTAAATGTCGTAAATTTTAAAATGCCGAAGAAATAACCACAAAAGCCTGTTTCAAACCGCTTAAATAATATAAATAGTATATTATGCAACAAGTGCGGTGAACGACATTTGACTGACGAGTTGTTAATAAACGAGTGAGTTAAAAAGTTTACCGAACGTGTTGCATACTATACTTTTTCTACGACAGTTTATGGGTATATTTTCGCAAAACAACACCAATACATTCACTGACATGACCGTCAGAATTGACAAACGCCAAAATTCAAAGCGTGGGAAATATCTCCGAAAACATCCGATTACTCCCAAATCGGTGCGGTAAAATCCCGGAAATGTCCGAAGAGGCTCGGATTCGTGGGAAACGAAACTGACGTGGTAAAATGACGCTTCCCGCAGGCTAAATCGGTGTGTAATTAGGTATTTTAGGAGGGTGTATGAGTTCTTTATTTTGTAAAAATGTGGTCACTCACAATTGCTTTCTTTCTTATACATGGGCTTTTTTAATTTTTGTTATCCATTCAGAACATACATGTGACTTTCTTTCGAAAAGGGCCAATCAAAAAATGATTCCAAAAGTCTTTTAAATAGTTATGGATTGTGTTACCGAATTCTTCGGGTTTATTTGTTTTGGAAACACATTATTGTAAATAATAAGTAAACAATTCAAAAATAAATTATATTGGTAACAACTTTATGAATGTGATAAAACTATGTAAGGACAATTTCAATGTAAAAATTACGATTTAATTTTGTAATTATTACTGATATTTAGGTTAGCCATTGAATGTGTATATAATCAAAATCAAAATATCAATGCTTAATTAATAAATTAATACTATATCATTTTTCTGCGTCAATTTGCTTTCTAAAGTTGTATTAGAGTACGACTTTGAATCGTATGTTTGTACAATACATGTAAATATTAATGAAATGTAAATATAACATTTTCGCCTTGTAAATACAACAAAATGACCCTTGATAACGTTTACGAACAAATTTTGTTTTGTAAGCATATGGAATGTGTGTGTAAGAAAATAACTGTTGTTTTATTAATTAATAAATTGAAAAATGTGACATTTAAATGTAAATGTAATTCATATTAAACGACTTGTTTCATTAACAAATTTTATTTTCTGATTCACAATAGCATCACCAATTTTACGAAAATGGCTGATTATTTTTTAAACTGTTAAGTGACAAATTCAATGTTGCAAAAATCTTGTGTTTCAATACTACACTTTAATGACTTTTTTCATTAGATCCATTTAATTTAATGCGAATAACTAACTAGTGCAAAAAAAACTTTAAAGTTTTCTTCACTGATGGTGCGGTGCGAACCCAGCACCAAGTTGCGAGAGCTTTGTGGGTGAATTGTGCATACAAGCAATAAACTATTGATGTTTCCCAAATACTTCCTAGTATTTACACTTTTTCTCCCACCGCTTGAATTGTGATTTCAGAGACCTACAAAAAAAATTAATACAAATACTCCTTCAAAGGATTTTTATTGAAATCAATAGGATATTAAGTGCCATGTTTTGAAGCTGGAAGGTTAAATTAACAAAAAAATTAATCAAAATAAATCAGAACAAAATGTTCAGATTGTCGCGAAATTATATTTTTACATGATAATCGTTTGGACAACGCCGTGTCCTTATCAAATGTAATATTTACACACTACCTGTTACTATATATACCGAAAAATGACCATAAAATCTTAATTAATATTGTGACAATTTAAGTTCAATAAAGGAGAAGTATTTAAATCTAATTGATCGTTATAAGTAAATTTAGTTTTCTACTTTTTGCGGCTGTATGTAAGTCTAAGTTAAGACTTAACTATTATGAAAACGCAAAACAAATTAGATTTTTCCATCTATCATAAACCTTCACACACGGACACAGTCTTACATAACAGCTCAAATCATCCTTATACACACAAAATGGCTGCATTGCACTCTTTTATACACAGACTTCACAATACGACACTCTCAACAAAAAATTACAACAAAGAACTTAATGTCATTAAACAAATTGCACTGAACAACGGCTACAATCCGTCTATTATAGATAAAATTATAAATTAAAAAAAATCCAGACAACAGGAAAACTCTATTTATCCGAAACCTAATGCAGAACACGAACAATTTAAAACAATTACATACATAGGAGAACCTAGTGAAAAAGTTTCAAAACATTTGTCAAAATGTGGTTTAAAAATAGCTTTCACAACTAACAACACAATAGAAATTTTTTTAAAAAGCAATAAAACGAAATGTCCAAAATCTCAAAAATCAGGTGTCCACAGGTTGAAATGCGGATCTTGTCCTAAAATTTATATTTTACTAACAGGTAGATCCTTCAAGAAACGCATTAACGAACATAAAAGAGCGTTTAAAAGCAATAGTCTAGATTCTAATTATGCTACATACTTAAACACAGAAAAACACATTTTTGACGACAATTTTGATATTTTACATACAGCCACAAAAAGTAGAAAATAAAATTTATTGGAACCCATGGAAATTAACAAAATGCGACATTCAAATGTATTGCTTAACGATCAATTAGATTTAAATATCTCTCCTTTATTGAACTTAAGTTTTCACAACAACATTAATTAAGGTTTTATGGTCATTTTTCGGTATATATAGTAGCAGGTAGTTTGTAAATGTTACATTTGATAAAGACACGGTGTTGCCGAAACAATTGTCATGTAAAAAATCTGAACTTTTAGTTCTTATTTATTTTGATAAATGGATTTTCATCAAGTAAAAGCCACCTCATTTCAAAAAAATTAATGCTGAGAGGTGCACGAAAATTGCGCTCACAGCCCGTACCCGCTATAGCAAGCTAGCCCTTTCTACAAATTTAAAAAGCAACTTAAATGGGTTGAAGTGCATTACAAGCTGAAAGGCTAGACCGTAATTGTTTTTGACTTTCTTCATTGTGTGGCGCTAATCAAGTGTTAAGCTCATTCGAAAGCAGGAACATTTGACGAAATACAATATATGCATATGTGCATATATGAAAACAAATTTTGATCTTGCTTATCAGGTTCAAGAAAATGTAAAATAAGTTAATATGGTTTATGAATTTTTCAAAGAAACTTCCACAGGCTACTATAATGCTTTTTACAAAACTTCTGGATTCCTCCTGCGTCGGTTTTTGCTTAGTCGAAAGTGCAACTTCGACTAAGAAAAAACCGACGCAGGATGAGTCGAAAAGATGGTTAATGACAGATTTTTTGTGTGAAAATTTAAAGAACTTTATTATTCAATTTTTCATTTTCACGCCCGATGCTTATAATACAGAGTATTAAGGTTTATTTAAAAATTTGCATCTTTATCTACAGATTTGGTAATCTTTAGCCTATTTTCTAGAAACTTGGTATGCATAATTTTCCTCTTAGGTTACACTTTTCGTATAAATTTTACTATTATTTATTTTATTACTATGCTCTGTTTCTTAATGCGAAAGAGTTATAAAGTGTAAATCAGCTAACTTAAATTAGATATCGTAAATTCCAAATAAATTACAATCATAGTTTTCAAAAATTCCGTATTTCAGTCCTTAGTTTGCATAAAATAGAAAAACGTATTTACTACAACTGGTTAATTAGGATAATAAATATACATGATTTTAATTGCAGAGATCTAGTAAATAAGAACTGAAGGTAAGAATAACTTTTAAAAATGTTCTATTTACAATACAACATCATTTGTAAATTTTCTTCCTTGTAGTCCGAGAGTTCTTTCTTTTATTCCAATCACTCCATTTTTTACAATCCACTGTCCACTGAAATTTAATGTATCTTATTTTAAAAAAAGTGTTTTGCCTTGCTAAAAACGCAAGCGCCAATACCAATTCTGCGGCGTTTAACTCAGCGATATAGCGGAATGCAAAGTACCATTGTATTTCGTACAAAGTGGTTTATTCAAATTTACAATTTCCAGTAGCTCCTTTTTCACATGTATTTTGGAAATTGCTTCTGATTTGATGTAAGTAATGATATCACCCTTCTTTCCAAGAAGACCTGGGTATTTTTTCGGTAGCCGGCTATGATCCATGACCATAACAAACCGAGGAGGAATAAGTAGAAGGAGAAGTCGTCTTCAAAAGCATCAGCGTTCATGTCTTCATGATAGTCTCCAATCCGTTTTAATTAAAATGCTAGTAAGCCACCACCGCTAAATCCATTTTTGCTACCAATTGCCACTAATGTGAGTAATTATTAATCTTTCTCTACGCCCTTTCCCCATGTTTTTATTCCAGTGGACCATCCTTTCATGAAAATTTGCCTCGTGCACTTTAAATTTTTATCCTACGATGTTTTACCAACTGTTTATTGTTTATTTACCCCAGTTTCATCCAGATAATAGATATTCCCGTTTTCCCTGAGATTTCTTAATGTAACGAAAATTCATTTTTTTACAGTTTTCCACAAACTTTTCTTGCCCATTTTGTTAATGAAATTATTTGTTTTCATTTCCATTTTCTTAAGTAAAACGAGTGTATTATTCTTATTATTATTCAGTGAGACTTCAGCAAGTCTAATTCATCAACACCGTATGAGGAATCCAGAAGATTTTCACTAGTATTACAGTAGCCTGTTTGAAAAAGAAGCAAATGATACTTCCAATTCTACAAATATACTTAGACCATATCCTTTATCCTCACCTTTGTTCTTAACTTGGCCGTTATTTCTATTTTTTGGTTCTTCAACGCACATTTTAGAATTTTCCCTGGTTAACGAGTGTATTATTCTTCTTCTCATTTATTTCGGTTTGTTTTCTTTCTCGGATTTATCCTCGTGTACACAAGGTACATTTTTGATTATCCAACTCCAGTCATATTCGAACCCATTTCAACTATTTTTGCACCTTCAAAGGGAGTTTTACTCATCCGTTTCTTAGCAATAAATTCAGAAACATCAGCAATTTTTAAAAAAGAACTTGGCCAACAACCTACCGGAAAGTAAGAATAATTCTAATTTTAAACATTAAGAAACACTAGGTAAACCACCTATAGGCCTACCTGCCGCTCTCGGGCCTCTTGACAATTACCTCAGGTACAATACTAAGGCAATGAAATACGGCTAACACCACTACTTTTTACACTTCAATAATTATTTATAGCTCTCTCATATTAACAAAAAAGCATAGTCTCATGCACCCCAAAAATTTTCTCAAAGTACGCCTATGGTCTTTAGACTGATTTCATTTTAAAAATGCCTTGCATTACATATATTTTCTCATTTGTTTAATTTTTGAAAACAATTATGATGAAATTTTTGAAAAAATGAAATAATTGGTTAATGTTAAGACCCAAGCAGAAATATGCATTTTATAATTATCGGTAACAATTGCAAAGGCATTATAGAAAAATATTTCAGGACACAAAGTAAAATTATGCACCCACGTCCATCTTTAATCTTTTTTAAAACAATATCAGAAGTCTTTTTATGAAACTTTCTTTAACAATTGTAATTTATTGAAGATCTGCCATATTGAAATACTTAAGATTTGTTTATTATTGTGCTATTTAGTGGTAGTTTTTAACTTTTAATTGAGTAGTTATTTTCCAAAATGATGCAAAGTAAGGGGTTCAGTACACGCATTAAAATTTAAGGTGCAAATCAAGAATATTTGGGCGGGAATATAACCCTTTTTTTTCTGGTGGTATGCCGCTTTTATTTATAGAAGTAACCAGAAGTCTAATCTAATAGAACAATTATTAAACACGCCAAGTTTCAACAGAATATATGCAAAACTGCACTGCACGAGATGCACCTACAAAATTTTTATTTTTTATATGTTTCACGATGTGTAATCATAGTTCTAATATTTTCAGACAAAAAATCTATCAACGGCTCAACCCGTTATTGACAGATTATTTTCGGCTCGCCTTATAAATTTTCTTAATTTTTTAAACTTAATCCATTCAATGATTTGCGACTTTTCATAAAGTTAAAATTAGTTAGATAAACCGAACCAACCTGAACATGAGGTGGGGTAGATAGTGCGTATATAACAGCATTAGCTACGTCTTCCGCTTTCAAAATAGGAAAAAAATTCAATTCAGAATTGGATGGCATGGCACCACCGGTTTTTACGCTGAAGAATTCGGTGGCCACAGCCCCAGGACTAACGCTCTGAAATTTGAAATTTTTGAACTACATTTCCAACCTAATGAAAACTACTAATGACTTTTTATTCAAAATGAAGATTGGATTTAATAGAGATTTTTCATTGAACATTTATTCAATATTTACCCACCGTAATTTTCATTTTTAGATTCAATTCATTTATCTCAAATCGCAATGCTTCGGCCAGGCCAGTAACAGCAAATTTAGTAGCCGTATAGACGCTGCTTTTTGGAAAATTCACCACTTTGTGTCCAACGATACTGTTTATGTGAATTATATGGCCGTTGATGTTTTCTGCTATCATCTCCCTAACTACTTCTCTGGTAGCAATACAAAGTCCAAGAACATTCGTATCTGCAAAATATTTCAAGTCATCTTAAAGTCTAATTGGCCACGTCGAACAATTTACCGAGCATTGTTTTCCAAGTTTCGGTTTCGCCATCGAAAAGTGTACTATCTAAACCAAGACCAGCGTTGTTGATTAAAATGTGAACGGTTCCTAACTCTTCACGGATAAATTTGAAGGCTTCCAAAATATTTTCCTCATTGGTCATGTCACATTTAACTGCAACCAATTTTCCTTTCTGGGTTTTCAGCTTCTCCGCAAGTTCCTCGACGCGTTCCACTCTTCTTGCCAAACCTGCAACCTACAAGGGTTTTATTGTTGGAAGCATGCAGTTTTGCTCACAGTGTGCGCAAACACACATTATTTCATCCCGTATCAATACGACTACACTATAATATAAACTACGCTTTGGTAAACGATTGCAATAGTCACTGTTTAATAAATAAAAAAATTGTTAAAGTACTTTAAGCGCTCAAAGTGAGGCGTGAAAATGTTTAATAAAGTTAACGTTTTAAAGTGTAGAAGAGTATAGAAGAAATTCTTTGGAAATTTCAACTACGTGGAACAAATATTATTTTCTCATTACTCCAAAATTGCCTATCTGATCAGGTGTGGTCAAAGTGTTAACGTCAGCTTCATGAAAAACTTTCGCCAGCCACCTCGAGCATTTCTGGTACTTTAGTCACCAATTGGGGGCGATCCAATGTTTTATTGGATTTAAAACACTGATGATATTTTGACGCCTGTCAGTGTGGATGATCGCATCACACGTCAGTTCGTGAATTTATTCGTACTGTTTTGCAAAATTGTAGGCCAAATCTAATGATCCTAAAAAAATATTTTGCCCTTATTAAGAACTCGCTCTGTCGTTTATAAAGCTTGGTGCACAATATAATTATTTTACTTAGTTAGCGTTCTATTAGATACCACATTTTGCCATCATTCTTTTATTTTGTTACTATTTTTTCTAGACCAATTTCATGATAGCTAATATTATCGATTATAGAATATTATCAATGCTGCTTTTGCCAGTTTTATTTGATTTTGTTTTACCTGTTTTCAATTCAGTTCTGATGATACCTATGATTTGCTGATGGGAAATACTGGCTCAGCTTATTCATGAGCATCCATCGAAAAAGTTGGGACTAACAAAGCTTTTTTTAAAGTTAACTCGTATATATTAATTAAAATGAATGGCGTATTATAAAATCATTAGTACTTACTCTCAACCCATATTTCACCAAATGCTCAGCTATCGCTGAACCGCATCCTGCGCTGGCACCAGTTACCACTGCCACTTTTCCGGACCAGCGAGTCATCGAAAGTACCATTTTCAGCCAAAAAGGAACCAGGAAACGATTCAGTGCCAGGGTTTTTAGTTAACTAGAGCTAACATATCGATGTAGCATTTCTATTTCTGAGTCATTTATAATTTAAAAAAGTCGTGCATGTATGTCGATTGATTGGGGTGATAAAGTGGTAATTAGGTGTTTATTAGCTCCTTCGGTAACTGAGCGAGCAACACATAAGTAAGGCAAAGATTAATCGATAATATTAATATATATTATTAATATTAGTTAATCGATAATATTAATAATAATTAATTGCTATACGGAAATTAAAAAGCCATATACGCATATCCCAAAATTATTTTTTTTTAATTTAAAGGTATTGCTTTTCGCCTTTTCGCAAATAGTAAATACATATAAGCCCCGTCATACTTTTTAGTGCGTTGATGGAAAACCTTTCGCTGAACGGATAAAACTTAAATAAAATTTGTCATGAAATTACGAGCATTATTTTTATTATTACATTTCTTTTTCTTAAGCCACAGTTTTAGTCTTGTTGCCCAATATTTTTACATCGATTAGAAAATGTTTATCGAAAAATAGTTATAGACACTATCAATTTCATTTTATTAAGTATCCGTGAATACCAAAGTCTAATAGGTAGACTTTCTTAATGCATTCTCCCTATAGAATTTTATTCCCCATCTATCTCAGTAAAAATGGACGCAATTAAATATCTAAATGTTTATTAATTTCTTAGTTACTCGGCTAGAACTCTGACGTGCGAATTGACATAACCGAATTTATAATAAGCCAGAAAAGGACATACCCTCATTAACCAGAGTTCTAAATACCTGACAAAATTAAAATACAACCTAAAAACTTTCCATTTTAAAGATAACATGACTATTTTAAAAGACAACATGGTAATCCTTTCTAAGGTGGTTAATTTGTTACTTCGATTTTGAATATCACCAGAGTCGTTTTCTAGAAGCAGCTGCAGTGTTACCATGACAACGTTAAAATTTAAAAGAGGACTCATGCACCATAATCCGTGTGTAAGATGTTCTGACATTTTAAGGAAGTCTTTGTCCTGTTTGCCCACATGAGGAACGAAAACTTTTTGAATAAGTTTCTCACATATTTGTCTGGTTTCCTCCACAGAATTTCTGCAGATATTAAATCTAAACGAAAATTCGTTATCATATCGGATGTGATTTTCCAATTCTTCTCACCTATTCTCAATACCTAGAACATAACCCACAACTCTCCATAGATGTACGAAACCTTTCCATTCTTCATCGGTGATATGTCCAATACCAAACCAGTTACTTCTCGTTAGTTGATAGCCCATAAACCCAAACTGAGTTAACGCCATGTCCATTTGACTAATCTTACCCAAACCTCCCTTAGAACACCTTTTGCTTGCTGAATTGTGCATAGATTTCACTTCTTTAATTGATTTCCAAGATCTGTTGAGAGCCAAAAACAAAAAGAGAGGAATTATGGTTTACGAAATTGTTGTCCCCAACTTAAAAATTCCCATGTACTTGATCGCTTACTTTGATCCCGGCATGAAACTATGGTCATACCAAATGTTCATATGAAAAATAGTTCCCATATATCTCCTGTAGGCTGCTAAATCACTCCCTGACATTCTCGTATGCACCAAAACTCGCAATATTGAAGGAAGAATTGACAACAAACCAAAAAATTTTGCGGAGAATATGCCGAATATGTTATCATGGTATAACGCCTGACCCCTTAAACAAAATTAAGGAATGCCTGCGCGATGCAGTGAACATATAATATAATTCAGCTTATATTTACTTCCTGAATAATGTTTCGTCGTAAAAATCTGGCAGTTCCTTTGAACTAAAACTTTCCTCAGAGTCGTCGCATGGAATATCAGCCCCATAAGAAATCATATTATCAATAAAGTCCTCAACTAAAACATTATACAAATTAACACTGGTTGCGGCCAGCACAATAATTTGAATTTTGCAGTTACGATGGCAAATAATATTACTTACAACTCTTCTGGATTCCGCCTGCGTCGATTGTTGATGAATCAAACTTCCTGTTGAAATTGAAACAGTTTCAATTAAGTTCTGAAGAACCAAACAGGATAATTTGTGAAACTTCAGCAAGTCTAATTTATCAACACCGTATGAGGAATCCAGAAGATGTGCACTAGTATTACAGTAGTCTGTGGAAGTTTGTTTGAAAAAAAAGCAAATGATACTTTCAATTCTACAAACACACTTAGACCATTTCCTCACCCTTGTTCTTAACTTGGCCGTTATTTCTATTTTTTGGTTCTTCGACGCACATTTTAGAATTTTCTCTGGTTATGTCATCAATTCTGTAATCTGCAAATTTAATTTGTTAATACTATAATTACAACAAACAAACTCAAATTTTTTTTATTTAAATTTCGTTCCAGCTAGTTCTTGAAGTATATAATTTAATGAGAATTGTGATAACTAATTGGCAATGACGATGTTCTATAAACGGCAATAGTTTGGAATAAGGGACTACTATTTATTTATTTATTTATTGTTCGGCTTTACTTAGATTAACATAGATCTTATAACGCAAATCAGAGGTCCAAATCCAGACTCTTGACCCATTCCGTTGCGACGAAAGCAAGAATAATAAAATCGATCATCTCTCCTGAATATAATCTATTTCCACAGGTATCTTCCCCCATTTCTGTTGGCAGTTTTCCAAATCTGTCTCGGTAAGCCAAAACCAGCAGGCACTTTCCGGGCTGTGATGTCGTCCAGTGATACAGACCGCTCCCATATTCACCTTTGTTTGAATCAGTCACTCTCGCTGAATTCTATTGCAGTCCTGACTGGTGGTCTTCGGGATTTAAGTCGAACTGACCTTACGTTCTCAATTTCTTCATCAATTGGTTAAGTACGGGAAAGCAGTACGTCGGGTAGTTCAGTTGAGTATCAAGTTTAAGGACATGGTCGCTATTTATCCACACAAGGGTAGCACACTTGGCGGCACTCTACACGAGACCTAGGGCTGTTGCTGCACACAACTCCAGGACAATATATATATATATATATATATATATATATATATATATATATATATATATATATATATATATATATATATATATATATATATATATATATATATATATATATATATATATATATATATATATATATATATATATATATATATATATATATATATATATATATATATATATATATATATATATATATATATATATATATATATATATATATATATATATATATATATATATATATATATATATATATATATATATATATATATATATATATATATATATATATATATATATATGTGTGTGTGTGTGTGTGTATGTGTGTGTCAGCGCATACCAATTTATGATAATTAATTGGTAACGGAAAGCAACAGAGTGTTATTAACAATTAATCATAATTAATAGCATTAAAGAGAAGGTAGATTTATAACAATATTGCTTGAATTGAATTAAATAAAGTAAAGCTTTAGTTACATCGATTTTGGTGTTTTGTGTCCACTTAAGGTTAACCATGAAAGTATTTTTGTGATTATTAGCGATTATATAAATAAGGCTGACAGATTTATTTTATTTTGATATATCAAAACCAACCTTTCAAATTTAAAATATACCTAAAATGTTAATTTTTGACGGATTTTTTTGCTGATTAATTTGCATAAATTGGTCAATTTTAAACAAAACTTAGGCGTTATATTAATGATATAAAGTATAAAAAATATATAAAATATAAAACGTCGTTATCTAATCCATATGACATTAATTATCCTGCCACTATCGTGTGGAGTTTTGAATATATTTTAGCACCACTTTTAAATGATTATTAAAAATTGTTAGATCAATTTCCAAGGGAAATAACACTTCATATAATACTTGAGTAATTATGTTATCTTAAAAAATGCAGTTATATTTATTTAACACGCAAAAATAGAAAAAATAACTATCGATTTAATGCGATTCCATTGTGTCCTTTATCGATAGTGTTTGTTTTAACTGGAATACTGTGCAAAATTCAATTGCGTAAATACTTTTATTATTTATCTCAGAAACGTGAGAAGCATAGGTGTAATCAAGGCCTTCCAAATTTAACGAAATCAGTTCCATTGTTAATTCCTTTATTATTGGAACTTCGAGGTTGTTAAAATTAGTAAGTAGTTAGCAAAAACGCAATAAAAAATAAAGGTCGCGTTTTCTTGATTTTTCAAGAAATAAAATTTTCGGAAATGTCTGGGGTTATAAGTTTACGATAGATTATGTTTTTCCGAAATTATCATAAAAATTGAATACAATTAAAAAAAGTAATTACTCTTGAAATGAAGCTCGTCTGTGATTTTAAGTTACCATGACTTTAATAGTGACATTGACGAGTTAAGACTTCAATGCTGAATAAATTTTGAAATTAGTTTTTTTTTCGACTCAATAATTTGGGAGAAGATATTTATATTTGTTTACATAAATTAAAATTTGCCAACAAACTTAATTTTGTTAAGGCTCGAATTAGGAAAATTGAATAGAAGATCATCTACTTGCTTAATACTTACTCCTTCGTCCGGTAGCTAAACAATTCCACACTTTGCAATAAAATTATCACTTCAATCACTAACCACTAAGCTAAATTATATAGGCTGTGAACTGTTTAGTTTATCGTTTTATACAATTATCAGAGATCGAGAAATATTGTGAAGTGCGTATTATAACGGCAACGACTTTCTATTCCGACGATGTCGGCAGCCGAAGAATCCACATAAATGTCGATTCCCCCATTCCATCGTGAAAGTTCATGACTTACGTCTTCAATACGTTCACCGAAACTTGTTATAAGGATTACCAGCAATCAGTCTGGCAAACAAAGACTTTAACATTGCTATATTAATGCACAACAAAAATCATGCATATATGCATTTTATTTTATTTAATTTCGATTAGTTCAATTTTGATACTCAATCATAAACATCATTTTATACCTCCTGGTTGATTAAATGGACGAGGCAATATTTAAGGAAGTATTGTGTGGCCATTTTCTGACAAACACGTTCTTCTATAAACATAAACAGCTTATTGCTTTTGAGATGATTATTTTAAAATTTAGCGGCTCTGTTTATTGTTTCTCCTTTTACCATGAAGATATTCAAAACAATTCAATTGTTTAATCTCCAAATATTCATCCAATGTCGCAAAATTATTCAGGTTACACTTTATGTCTATAATACCCTTATACGTATATGGTAATAAAGGAAATAGGTTCTCATAAGTATTAGTCAATTTAAAATTTACAATATTGATTTAAGTTAATCCTAACGGTAATGTAAAACAATATTTCGATGGTTCTCCAGCTAACAATAAAATGTTCGTAAAGATGTGGATTTTAGAAAAATATTCCCGGATGGCCAAATACAAATGCAAAAATTCTCTAAACACATCAATCAGTTTATTTTGTTAATATTTGACAAAATTCTGTATATATCCCGATAATGTAATAATAATAATAATGTTTTGTATTTAGTCCACTCCATCGTAAAGAAGGTCTACATTAACAAAAAACAAACAATAACTTATATTATACAAATCATTACATAAAATACATATAGGTTATTAAAAACCAAATAACTTCGCCAATAAAAAACTCGTCAATAGAGTAAAAGCACTAAAAAAAAAAGTTCTATATAATTTCATATGTCGGTAAGTGTAATCAATTTGTTATTATTGTTGTTTGGAAATATGGAACACTAAATGTTTTATTGACCTTATGTCGTGACCGTGAACTTCCCATCGTCGCAGAAGAGAGTGTTTTTGTTTCCCAAAAATTGCAACAGTATTTTTAAACATTAAAATAACTAACTTTTATAATCTGATATTGAAAAGTTCCGGTCTCACATTTTGCACGATTGTAAATGAACTGGTCGCCTTCAGAAATTGCAAAATAGACCCCGGTCCGTCAACCTTACATTTATCACTAATTTACGCTAATTAAGAAAAACACAAAAATAATCCAAACGAAAACAAACCCATAATTGGAACAAATATAACTGATCCACGAGCATAAGGTGGCCAAAACGTATCATAACAAAGAATCGGTGCTATTTTTATATGTAGCTTGCTCATTGTTAGCCGTTCATAAACAATGATCGTACGAGGACGTTATTAAGAAAATAATAATTAAATAACATTTCTACTTTATTAGAAGTACAAATTAAAATATAGGTGGTAGAGTGATTCAAATCTCTGATTGAGTTAGGTCATAAATAATTGCCTTATTAATAAACGGTGCCCTGCTAGCTTACTTTCGATGTTATGAACAATCAAATTGTATAAATTTGCCATTGTTTGAGCTGTCTATTTGTAGTGGTCAACTTATATTCCCAATGAATGTAATTATTCTTAACTAGTCAGTCAAGGGCCACGAGGTGCATTGTAGCTTATTATGTTTTTTTTTTACGACAAATTGGTAAGCTGACATTTTACAATTGCTAAAATTTCTTATAAGGCAATTAGAATTTCTGCCTGGGTGCAGATAATTTTCAACTGTAACCGGTATTAACGGAAGAGAAGAAAAAAGAAAGCGAAAGAATTCGACCGCATAGCAGCATTCTACTTCTGCTTGGATGTTAATCGTCGTGATAATGGAAGCGGAGTGTCAATATTCGACGAGGATGTTGAACAGGACCGTGATCCAATACCATTTACTCTGTTTACCTAATTCGACGTTTTGAATGTTGTCGTGTGTGCGAGATGAGTTAGATTCTGAACAATTTCGGACAACCATGAACGAAAATAAAAGAAATGCTAAAGGTAATTTTTAATTAAATGGACTTTTTTTTTTTTAATATACATTAGCTGTAAGAATTTGCCCTGATGAAATATTAAAACGTTTCTGAGGTTTTCAAAAAGTTGTTGCTTCTCGTTTGTTTTTATTATACTACTATTTTTTGTTAATTTGTTATTTGTGACATTCAACATTCTAGCTTTTCTTTTGATACTTATTTAGCTTTGAAACGGATCTAAACAAAAAGTGCGTAAAGAAATATTAAAAATAAACAAATTTTCGAGTCATCATTTTTATTTTCATTTCATTATTTATGAAAGTTTTTTTATCAAACTGCGAGTTGCAATAAATTATAGACATCGTTTAAAAAAGTACCAAATAGAAGAGCTTATTTTATTGTTTCTTCCTTTTTAAACTTTAATGACAGTATTGAAACTTTAGTTTTTGAATATAGATCAAGTTACAAACAATTCTAAGAAAAATGACAACGCCGGTAGGTAACTCTTTAATATGTTATATTGTGTTACAAGGTCGCGATATTTTATGCAATACGCTGCTGCCAATCCGTCACGTGATCCCTTTACACCACAGATGCTGTTAAAATTACCTAATTCTTAAAAACTTTGCCAGCAGAAATCAAGATAATGTTGGTATACCGGCGAATTTTATACTTATATTTTAAATTACGATTAACGATGTAGTCTGGTCAAATAAGACGAATAACGGTATGCCTACTTTTGACAAAGGTTATTTTTAAAATAAGCAAATTCTGCATATAATTAAAACTAAATTTAATTTTAAAAGAAAAATTACAAATTCATACGGTGGAGCATGTTCTAAAAACATACCCATTTGAAATTGATTCATTTTAACACTTTTATAAAATGATACACAACAATATATATATATATATATATATATATATATATATATATATATATATATATATATATATATATATATATATATATATTTGCTTTTTAATTTTTGCTTTATAATTAATTGACAATTAGTTTGTTTGACTATTACACCAGCGCAAAAGGTTACTTTGAAACTGCTTTCATAGGAACACAACATTTTCTATAACATAAAAGATATGGCGCTATTTTAGAAATGCAGTTTTCCAAAAAACCTTATCTAACCTAAAATTTGGCCCACTCTGTACAGAATGACGCAAAAAAAAAACAATTAAAACTTTTTCGATTTCAGAATTTTCTGCTGAAGAATTTGTCGACAATTTGCTTACGAAAGGATCATGCTTACCTTGCGATGAAACATCGAAAACTTTTACCAGACAAAATATACCAAATTTCTACGATGAAAATTTATACCAGAGGTAAGAATACCGTTTATTTAAAGGTTTTTATGAGTGAAGTATAAACGTGGTAACTATCTAAAATTTGTTGGGAATATAAAAATATTTGCTGAAACTTGAACCAACTGCTAAAATTATATCTTATATTTTACTGCGAGATAAAATTATTTTAAAACTTCTGGTTGCGCTTGTTGACATCGATTTCCACAAATGAAATTGCATAGATATTTTCTATTCAATATTTAAAATAGTTTAAAAACTCGTTATTTATCTAATTATCTAAATTTGTTTCCTAAATAGAATGATTTTTAACATACTAAAAATATGATAAATTAATTAAATCAATGAAGTTGTTTACTTACAGAGGTCAGCGGTTTTTTTACAAGCATATATTTGGAATGTTTTTGGGAAAACTTCTTGGACTAATGGCTATAATTTCGATAAAATCTACTCTCGGCATACTGATGCTAACAAATAATTCTAGCACGCAATTTCTATCCTACAAAAGATATGTTTCAACTATATTTCACATGTTGATTTGGTATAAAGAAGACTTGCACCCAAATTCTAGGTGAGTGCTAATGTAAATACTACGTTAAATTGAAAAGTTCATAACTTCTCTCAGGTACTGTAGTTAAACATAGGTAATACAAGAAACACACGAAATTTACATTATTATTTGTCAAAATATAAATGTAATATAAAAAACTGGTGACATGCTTCGTTGTTCAAATCAAAAACAAACTATACATATAAACAACTATGCAATACTCCTTGCCAGGATTCTTGCATAGTTGCATAGTGTGTTGTAGCGAAACATAAACCCGCTTTTTAAATTATATTTATATTTTGACCAATGATACACTTTTATTTATTTTCCCAAAGACTTTTATTAAAAAAAATCTTTATTTGGAAAATAATAATACGTGAACCGTTTACACCTATGTTGTACGGAGCTAAGTGACCGTTAAAATGACTGCAGACTATTCTAATGCGATGCTTTTTATATTCTTATTTCTAAATGGCCATATAATTCCTCCCTCCTTAAGTCTGAGAGAATGGAGTACATTTCTCGAGGGTTTTTAATTGTATACCCATTTGTACATTTCTATTTTTATTTTTATAACATTTATAAAATACTATTATGATTAGTATGACAATAAGTACAATAATTATTAAAATGTTAAATACAGACGTTTTCAAAGGATGAACCGTTAGATGATTTACAACTTTTAGTTCATCATGTATAGTTTCTAGATTTATTTCTTTTAATTTTAAGGATTCAATTTTTTTGAACTAGGTCCTTATTAATATTAATTGAAGGTAATTTTAATGTTAAATTAATTGTATCATTTTTCTGTGGACTGAAATATTCCCTTTTTATATTAGCCATGCAGTGTTGGGGTATTTTTAACGAAGGTTGATTTATTATTTCAATTGATTAGGACAGGAGAAGGAAACCTTTTCTTCTAAATATGGAATAACGATAAGGATAGAGTTATCTTGTAGTTGAGTAGTCGAAGTATTGTTATAGTAGATAGGTGTGATTGGACCATGATCATTTTTAAGATTTATAGAATTAATTACACAGGGTTCGTCTTTATTAAGTTGGGGTTTTGAACATAAGGAGATTTCTTCTAGCTTTACACATTTTTGCCCTGTATTAAAAAAGTCGTTCGGGTTTATTAGAACATAGGCATTTTTAAGGATAACTATCTGATTATTTATAGGAATTGGGTATACATAGTAGAGTATATAAGGTAAATTTGAAATTACTGGTAATGTGGAATATGATTAATTCATTCTTTATAATTACATCTGAAAAGTTACATGCGTCTTTTAATATCCTTTGGATGTCTCTGATTTTTAAATATTGTTCTGATAAATTTTGGTTTTAATTTATTAGATATTTTCTGTGGAGTGCCAAGTAATTGATTGGTTTCTTCGGGAACTTCGGGATCATCCTCTCGTTCCTTATTTAATTTCGATAATATGTTTTCATTTAATTCATTAAATACTTGTGCTAATTCATATACGTAATCTGTTTGGAGTTGATTAAGGTTTTTCTCAAAATTAAGTTGATAGTTCAAATTTGCTTTTATTATTTGAGAAGTATTTGATTAAATTTCGACAGATTTCAATTGAATTTTCGTTTAATGGATATGTAGCAGCGAATTTCGAGAAGTTATTATAGTTAGATATTTTTGACCTGAAAGTGAATAGATTTCTATATAGATATGCTCGAATGGTTTAGATCCTACAGGGGTTGATTTATATATTACTTTATAAGGGTGTCTCTCATATTTAGACTTTTGGCAGGTTTCACAAGTATTAACAAAATTAATTATATTTCTTTCCATACTAGGCCAATAATATATTGTTTTATATTTTTAATATTTTCCGTTATTCCTCTATGCGATGTTATAGTCATATGATATCGTTCTATAATTTCTCTTTGTTCTTGTCCGTTGGGTACGTCCCGAAGTAATGTATTCGATATTACAAGATTATATGAATTGTTTTTAAAACTTTCTTGAAAAATTCTAATTATTAGTTCCAATTCCTTATATAAAAAATGTAAGCAATATATATCAGGTGACAAATCATTCTTTATTAGATGCCATTATTAAAGATGAATATCCTTTTCTTATTCTCGAAAATCCTTTCAGTTGCCACATAGGGTTTACTTTTATTAGTCCAATTAAATATTACTTGATTTTTATATGTATTTACGCTTTTATTAACATAGGGTGCTCCTAAAATTGGATTTTCTCGTGACGTATGTGTTGTTTCGATTTCGGAAGAATCTCGATCCGGAGTTGACTTTATTTTAATTTGTGATGAGCTTTCTTCTAGAGATTCTTTAGAGGTTATTGGGACAGCATTGTTTAATTTTATAGTTCCAGACGGTTTAATTTGGATCTTAGATATAATATGTATTTTCGATTTTTCCTTAATCTGTTCAATTTCTCTTGTTTCTAATTTATTTTCAAAATTATTTCAATTTCAGTATTTTTAAATAGATGTTCCAGCATAGATTTTACCTTATCCCCATTTAGTTTATCTAGTCCGCATCCGAGTCTGGGTATAGCTAATTTTGTTATATTATTTTCTTGAATATTTTCTCGCATTTGAAGTAAATATTTCCATCTGTTCGTTTATCGTTTGATTTCTTTTTTGTCACTTAATAGTAAATATTTTCATCTTCTTTTTCGTCATGCCATACAGGTATTTCGCCTATTTTGGTTTTTTGGCCTAGTAAATATTTTTGATTTTTATATTTATATTTAAAAACTACTGCTATGCCTTTATTCATTTCAAAGTCTTCAGCTACACAATGTGCTAAAGGTTGTTCGAACAGATTTCCTTTAATTTCCTTAACCTTCTTGAATTCTTTTATTTCTTGCCAGTTTTGGTTCCATTTTTTAAATTCTAATCTAATGTCTTCTACGTTAATTCTTTTGGGTGGTTCAAAGAGTGGAATAGCTTCCTGGGAGACAAAGGAATGTTTTATTCGTTCACGCCAAAGATATTGATCTGGTCTTGGATCGGGTCGTATGGGGTCGAGTGGGTAGATTTTCGATAGGGTGAGTATCTATAGCGTGTATGTCCATTGGGCGTCGAGATAGAGCATCTGCATTCAGGTTTTGTTTTCCTTTTTTATAGGCGATGAAATATTCATATTCCTGAAATTTTAATCTCCAGCGGACTTATTTTGAATTTGGTTCTTTTATAGAAAAGAGCCATTACAGAGGTTTGTGATCAGTTACGATCAGAAATTTACGTCCAAAAAGATACGGGCGGAAATATTTGACAACCCAAACGATCGCTAACGATTCTTTTTCAATCGTAGAAGCGTTCTGCTTGCGTATGCATCAGTAGTGATTACAAAAGGCCTTGTAAAGTCAGTCATTCATAAGAATAATTTCACAAGTGTTGAATGACTCAACAAATGGTTTATCGTGAATAATTTTTGCGTTTTTCTTTAAACATTGACTCATTGGCTTGGTTATCTTTGTGAAATCTCTAATGAATTTCCGGTAATAGCCTACTAATCCAAGAAAGGATTAAATTTCTTTCGTAGATCAAAGAATTTTAAAGTTTCTTATAGCAGCTATTTTTTTTAGATTAGGTTTTATACCATCTGGAGTTTTAACATGTCCTAAGAATTCATCAGTTTTTTGAAGGAATTCCGATTTATCAAGCTGAATTTTCATGTTAAAGGAGTTAAGTAGTTCGAAAACTTGTTTAAGGGCGTTTAAATGTTCCTATAATGATGTTGAAAAGATAATTATATCGTCCATGTAGACTAGACAGATTTTTCCTTGTAATCCGTGTAAGACATTATCCATTGCCCATTGCCCATGCGTACATACTCATAATGACGATGTTCTACATTAAATGCTGTTTTAGTCAGGGTGCATCTCTATTTGATGAAATCCACTAGCTAGATCAAGTGTTGTAAAATATTGAAATCGTCCGAGTTTATCCAAAATACCTGAAATATTAGGAAGAGCATACCAATTGTTTTTTCGTTAAGCTTCCTATAGTCAATGACAAGTCGCCATTGTTTTTCTCCAGAGGCGTCCATCTTTTTAGGAACTATCCAAACAGGAGAACTCCATGGAGAGTTCGATGGTTGTATAATTTTGTCATTTAACATTTGTGAGATCTGTTTATTAGTTTCTTCTTTATGTACAAATGGATATCTATAACTTTTAGTATATATTGAAATTTCGTCGGTGGTTTTGATAACATGTTTAACAGTATTTGAAAAGGTAAGTTTATCTCCGGGTTTATATAAAATATTATTAAATTTTTGAATTAGTAATTTTGTTCGTTCTTCCGAATTTAGATGTTCGTGCCTAATTAGAGATTTTAAGTCAACATTTTCTTGATTACGTGTTATTTTTTTTATCATTTTGGATGTCTAAATTATATAATTCAAAATTATCTGCTTCGAAGGGTTCCAGAGGTAAATGAGCATCTATCGTATATGTAAATATAAACGTTTTATATGAATAATTTAAGATATCGATAAAATCCATCCCTTCTTTTATTTTTAATAAAGTTGGTTGAATTTCTATATTTTCATTTTTAAAATAAGGCATTAGCTAGGAACTGTGTTCTGGAAGGTTAGTTTGCATTTTTACTTTTTGAATTGTTCGTGGGGGAATTTCTATTTTATATCCATTAAAATCCATAACATACGTAGTCAAAAATGGCCATATAATTCTACTGTAGATTTCGTGTTATTCTCGTATTTTAACGGTCATGTCAGTGAATGTTTTCATGTTATTTTGCAAAAAATGAGCAAAAAAAAAACTAATGGTCGTAAAAAAAGTATAATATGCAACACGTTTGGTAGACTTTTTAAGTCAGTCGTATGCCACACGTGTTGCACAATGTACTATTGTTATGATAATTTTTTTAAGCTAAAGCTACAGCTACAATTTGATTTTTTAATTTATTTTAGGTTGTGCAAATCATTATTCAAAGTGAAAAAAATGCATAACGTAGCAAGCAAAAAAGCGCAGATTGCTTTGCATTACAGGATAAGTCAAAAAGACATGGCAGTGACCCAGTTCGGTTTTATGGGATTTTTGTTAAGCAGACCAAACTTAATAGGAGTGCATAGTACGTCAAATGAAGATATCAAAGGTGTTGTCCACCTATGGAGAGTTGTGGGATATATTTTAGGAATCGACGACGAGTTAGTATAGCCCTGTTGCTTGTTTTAACAACAAAGGAAAGATCTCACTCACTGTGATTTAATTCAAAATTAACATAAATAAGTCAAATACAGGAATATCATTTTAAACATATAAGGTCTGATAAATTAGTGAGTCCTAATTATCTTCGCAATAATTAATTCTACCACAATAGGTTTAAATTTAAGGAAAAACTAACTGCAAAACTATGTTAGTAAAAAAAAATTCTTTAAAGTAAAAACAACAAACATGTCACCTTTTGAAGATTTTAGAACACAAAGAATAACAAGTAGTGATCCCTATCTTTACTGTTTGACAAAAGCAAAAGGTGAAAGAGGTTCAAATAAAATTAATTTTTTTAATGAAAGTGAAATAATAAATTCTATTCGCTAAATGAAAATGTTTAAAATTTTATGTTTAAATTTCAATTAAGATTTTTCCCAAATATATAGGCAAGCATCTCGATATAGTGGGCCTTTAATGAGAATATATCCCAACCTTTCAATTTCAAATATGTAGCACACTGCATACTTTTGAAGTTGTGTAGCTGATATACTGTGGTGTATTAATGTATTGTTATAAATGACAAGTACTATATAAAAACGATAACTTCACTTGTATAGTTTTGGTTAGTCCTTTCAAAAATAAAAATAAAAATCTGATATTTAGATAGAATGTTCTGTATATTATCATATCTCTTGAATGTGTACTGGTGTTGATCCGGGTATTTATCCTTTGTTTGTTTGACCCCAGAGTGGCATCTTCCGAGGCTGCGCGTCCATGTCAGTTGTACCAATCCGCACTTAAACTCTTGAATATTTATAGTTTTGCAGATGACACACACTTTCACATCTACATCGGCAAAAACTTGGACAAACTTAAACGTGTAGAGGATCGATGAACGATAAACTGATGTTGAAAAATACTAAGATACAATTTCTTCCTTTTACATATTATTGGAATACTTTTTTGCACTTCGAAACTAACAAAAACCCGAAAAAATTTTGAAATTCTAAAGACTGACTTTGCAAAATATTTATGAAGTTTTGGAAAGCTATTTCGAAAAGTTTGTCTAAATTAAAATATTTTTTTATCTAATTGGTAGCTTTAAAAATTAAATTACAACTCTTCGCACGGAACCTATTAAATTACAAGATTTTTTCATCTTAAAAATCATTTAAGTGTTAAACATCTCCAATACATTTATTGCTCTCTATTTCTTTAGCCAATAAATAATTACCGAATTAGAGTGGCGGGGAGTAAGAAATTTTTATTTGGAAGAAATAAATGTCTTAGCTAAATGGGTACTAAAATTAATATTTAATTAAAATCTATTATACCTGTCGCACACTCTGTAATAAGAAACCAAGATATTGCACACCGCTAACTTTATCTTAATATTGTACTGTTATTTATCAACAAGAAAAAATTGAAAAAGTTTGTCAAAAAAATAGTTGTGTAGTGGTCCCAATTTGTAACGAAATCGACTATGTCTATTATCTCGATTGCGACTAGTGTAAAATCAATTTCCGATTGTGTTCTAGATTATGCAATAAGTAAAAACAAGCATTATTTTCTAACTATTAATATTAATTTTTCAAAGAAACTTCCACAGGCTACTGTAATACTTTTTGCAAAACTTCTGAATTCCTCCTGCTTGACTTAACAGTTTTAGTCAAGCTCTGAAGAAGCCAACGGGATGATTGGCGAAACGTTGGCAAGTTCGACTCAGCAAAAACCGACGCAGGAAGAATCCAGAAGTTTTGTAAAAAGTATAACTATTAATATTGATATTCATTTGATGAATGAAGATAATTTACCAGCTATTAACTATTTCTGTACATCCCCATTTTCGTTTGAAATCGATTTACTTGATGGAAAGTCAATTCATGTCACTGTGAAACTTTCAACGCAGATGACTGCCAAGACAATTGTGACAAAATAATCCAATTTTCACCAGATAATTGACAATATCTACTAATATTGATAACACTAATATTGACCAGTGGTTTTTAATATTAAACCAGAAATTAGTATCTTTATATAAAGATCGCGAAAATTTCATGTTTTTTATTTCATTCCTTATAACTTCGTTTCAGGTTTAACATATGCAGAGAATCGGTGGAAGAAACTAGAGCAATCTGTAATGAAGTAATCAAACGAATCGTGATTCCAGAAGTAAGACTGCACAATAAGGATGCGACGCAATTGACTGCTAACTTTATTAACGGGATGTGGGCGATGAATCCATTCCTCGATGGAACGACGTTTATGTTTTATATGAACTTAGTACTGCACAACGACAACTCCAAAATTTCGATAAAAAATTCAGAATTTTCGAAATTGAACACAACAGCAAAGTTTAAGTTAAGACTGATATGTTACGTTATAGACTTAATGAAATATTCTTTAGTTCGAATTTTCGTAAACTGGATCCAGTTGCACGCTCTATATATGACGAAGAAGTTTCCCTATTTAGCCTACTACAAGTTTGGACTGTCAAACATGCACATACCCATATTAACAGATGAGCTTTAGCAATGGTCAAATTAAAACATTTTTTCTAATTTATTATAAATTCAATAAATTAACAACAAGAGCTAGAATTTCTTGATGGTTATGGATTCCGCAAACCAAAAGGATGGTACCAACTAACCAGCTACTAAATAAAAGAGTCCCAATTTATCATCCTACACAGAAACACAGTTCAACTTTTTCAATTATCACCATTAGCCCTGTCGCCACTTATCGTTTGTTCGGAAAGTACCAGTAAATTTTAAATTCACATAACTCTTGTGATACAGCAGAAAGCCATTTTTTGTTATTCAAGTCTTGCAGTATACGGTTTTTTTTCAATGGTTTTTCCATCAGAAATTCATGCATGGCTATCCCTTTGTCTAGTTTATTCACTGAAAAGCTCCATTTCTTTGCTTGAATTGTAATTCTGTAATTCAGTAATTGTATTTCTTAATGGTAGGTACTTCATATATTTCAATCTGGTCCTATAATAATTTCAAAAATATTAAATATATCTACAAAAATATCAATTAAGATTTCATATTTAAATAAATGAAAGTGTATGCTGAAATACGGCACTAGATTCGAATAGTTTAATTTGGGCAATTATTATTTTTAGAATAGTAATAGTACCTAGTGAAAACAAATTACTTATAATTCTGTTAAATTTTGGTCCATTAGAGTTATCTCATTAGTATATTTATTAGGAAAATAAATTAATCCCAGGATTATTTTGCCATTGATTTTTTGTTTGCAATACAATTTTCAAGAGACCAAAAGATTAGTGCCGATTTAGGCAATAGTTTATTATGCAAGAAGCTTAGTCAACGCCACTTTATGATTAGTAAACATGTTACATATCCCGAAAATCAATGATTTCTGGGTATAATTCAAAAACTACCCGTAGCTAAAATCTACCGAAAATATCCAATTGCTCACATATCGAAAACGTCCGAAGGACTCGAGACCATGAGTAACTAACGAAGTGACACTTTGAGCACTCTTGAATTAATGAAAATACACTAACTAGTACAAAAAATAATTTTTAACGGAAATATGAAGCAAAAAAAGTTACATCAAATTGTTTTCAACCCTTTTCAATAAGAAATTTTATCTTATTGACCACTAATCGACCCTTCTTGGGACATCAGAGAAGCAGAAGAACATATTTTGGTTTACACATTTCATTCCTTTGCGCCATTGCATCAATTTCTAGTCAAGTGTCATTTTCGTTTGTTATTGGAGTGTTATAGAGTTACAAAAATTCCATATGATTCATTTCAACAGTATACGCTCGTAATCATATGCCTACGATTATTTAATTTGGTTATTATTGATGTTGTTTTAACCTTAACCTTAAGTGGTTAATCCAAATTCATTTTACTTTGACCTATTCTTTGATAATTCTACTGTATTTTGGAACGATGCGTTTATTATTTCTCAATCAAAGATAAATATTATCTTCACTGCTGCTTGATTTGTGGATTGTGCCGTGTTGAGCAATGCAAAATATTGTCTCCAAATCGTGGATCTATAATATTTTTGAATGTCTTGAACATTTCAAAAATTTTGTTATATTAAAAAACGACCCACATTCGGACAACAGGCAATAAGGTATGTAGGTTATTATTTTTTAAACATATTTCGAAAAATTATGACACCAGCAAATGCCATAAAAATACGTCATTGCTAACGTAATGGTCATCTTTCCTCTGACTCTGGATAATACCTCTTTTCAAAGAAACTTCCCCAAACTACTGTAGTACTATCTACAAATATTCTGGAGTCCTGCGTCCGTTGTTGAAAAATTGAACTTGCTGACGTTTCGCCGTTCGTTGGCTTCTTCAGAGCTAAAATGTATTCAATTATTGGGAGTGATAAGTTGTTATTTATAATAATCTGTACAACGTAATTTTATTTAAATGTTGATTTAAGCATGCATATCCCATCAGATAATTGTGATATTACAACCATATTACATATTATTATTAGTAAATAAATAAATAATCGTTTATTGAATACTTATAAATACTAAAACGTATTTTTGAAGTCAGGAAGAGTACAAACAAGATAAATATATTACATATAAACAGTTAAAACAGTGCAACCAAAAAGTAAAACTTTGTATATATAGGTACACTCTAAGAATAATTAATTTATAAAATAACTTAGATCTACTGTACCTGATGTGTAACAAATGCGTTTATAGAATAGAAACAATGATCTTCAAAAAGCTTTTTTTAAAATGGTGTGAATTTTTTAATGTAAAGTCGTTTAACATCAATATTTTTGGATCGAAAAAGAGTGTTTGCAAAAATATTATACAAATCTAGATTAAGTTTATTTTTTTGTGTAGTACACAACCTCGATCTTAATGTTATGAGATTGTCAGTTGTTCGAGTCATGTAGCTGTGATATCCAGCATGAATCGGAAAGACAGACAAATTTCAGTGGATTTCAACTAAAGTTTGGAGAATAATACATGGAAAAAGTAAGTATTTTAAATTTTTTGAATGTTGGGCGGCAGTGGCTGGACGACGGAACACCCCCAAGAACCCGACCGCAGACTTCTGTAATCTAAAGGCTCTTTCGGCTTCCGTCGCGTTCCCCCACAATAGTAGCCCATATGATAAAAAACTATGAAACAGTGCAAAATAAACTATACGGAGAGTGCTTTGCGAGTGGACAGAAGACAATTTACAGTACAGGTAGTCTATATGAGGCGACCAGGTTAAAAACACATCTAGGTCTAGGAGTTTGACCGGTTCAGACTTTTTACTTCTTCTATTGGTATTGAAAATTAGAGTCTTTGTTTTATCGGAATTTAATTTAAGTTTATTTGCAGAGAACCACTGTTCAATCATGGAGAGTGTAGTGACAGCCTTCTTATTTAATTCAATCAATGATGTGTCATCCGCATAGAGTATACTGCAAGCAGCATTTGTTGCAAATACTACGTCATTTATGTATATTATAAACAAAAGTGGATCAAGGATGGAACCCTGAGGCACTCCATTAGTGATGTCCAACAGAGTAGATTCCCGATCATTCCAGACAACATATTGCTTTCTTCCAGTCAAATAAGATTTTAAAAGGGCTAGGGTATTTTCACGAAATCCGTAGAAATTCAAATTTAGAAAGAAGTATATTAGTATCCACGCAATCGAATGCCTTGCTGAGGTCGCACATCGTTACCGAAGTCGACAGGTACTCCTCAAACCCATCAACCACATGCTCAATAATTGTGTATAAGGCACGGATGGTGGACCCACCCGACCGAAAACCAAATTGGGAATATGTTAGTAATTTCAGTTAGTTTATCTTTTATTATAGATTCAAAATTTTTTCGAATGACAAGAATGATTGTTATGGGTCTGAAATTATCCAAGATATTTGTATCCAATTTTTTATGGTGTGGAAGAATTTTTGTCACATTTAATTCATCCGGAAAACACCCCTCTTCGATGCCATTGTTTATTAGTAATGTAATAATATTTACATTTAGACCATAATAATCAAGACAATGAGAGTTATTTAGTTTCAAAATCGCTTCCTTAACATCACTCTCCAAAACTGCTGACATAAAAAACGAGAAATTGGGTCTAGTTGGGAGATGTAGGTCATAGTATCTATTACTGAAGGTGTGATGGTTTTTATTATCTCCACTGACACAGAAGCAAAATAGATGTTGAACTCCAACGGAGCAATCGGTGATTGAATAGAGTTATTGTGCTTAGACCGTCTCTCCGAATTAACAATATTCCATCTCGTTTTAGATTTTTCATTTGAACTCAGATTTATGTCGTCATAAGTTTTCTTTTTCTCCACCTTTATAGTGTGACGACATTCTTTGTGGACCCGTTTGTAAACATGAAAGTCTTGGTTACTTTTTGAACTATAGTAATGTTTTTTAAGACAGAAAAGATGCTGGTGCATTTCTTTTAGGTTATCATCATTAATTGGCGAACGATGGATAGTTGAGTTAATAATGGGAAAGAAACTGTCGACAGCTCCCCTAAGTTGTTCAATAAACATAGAACAAAATTGTACGCCACTTTGTTCGTTACTGACAAGTTTGGGCCACTCAATATGCTCCAGGTTGTTGCCGAACGCAGTTATACGTTTTATATTTATTAACTTTCTTTTAATTTTATCATGATTACGAAAAATTACCGTCGAATTAACTTTTATTAATTGTCCCAAATGATCTGACAAAACGGGATCACAAACTATGACATTTATCCGGTCACTATCTCCAAACAGGAATCTGCTGAGTTAGACTTCCTGGTAGGTTCTTTTACAAAAATCTGAGCCAAACGAAATGAATATATTTTTTAACTCCTCTGATTGATAGGTTTTCTGTGCTAAGTCTACGTTGAAATCGCCAACAACAATTAAGTTATCATAACGTTTATGGTGGAAACTTTTACCTGAAGTAGAAGATCTGTAAAGAGCAAGCAAAACAGTCTTATTATCAATAATTTTCGCTGCATAAAATTCTGCATGACTTTGAACAGCAATATTGAATAAAAGTAAAACTTTTGAACACGGGATTTAAATAAGAGTTTATTAATACGCTTTAATGAAAACACAATTCAACAGAAAAGTGTAAAATTCCTCGGAGTTTGTGTAGCCTCGAGACTCTCCTGGTTCGAACAGGTGGACCACATTCTCAGAAAACTTTCTGTTTACTGCCATGTCATATGGAGGCTCCGCCATCAGGTTTCTTTCCCCTTATTAAAAATATACTATTTTTCGTATGTCTGTTCGTGTCTCAACTACGCCTTGGCTTGTTGGGGAGGTTCCCCAAGTGCGGAGCAAGTCTTTAGGATGCAGAAACGCATTTTACGGACTACACTGTTTAAGCCCTGGAATTTTTCATGTCGGAACCTATTTCCACAACACTCTTTATTGACACTTCCTAGTATGTACATACTAAATTGTGCCACGTATGTAAAAAGTAACTCTAATCTTTATATGCCCTCAAGAAACTCAGATATTCAGTACAGTTTAAGACCGAATCTTAACATAAAAATACCTACACATCGACTGTCTCTAACAGCAAATAGTCCTTTGTTTTGACTGTAAAAATTTATAATAAATTGTCTATCGAACTGAAGGAGATAACTAGTCAAACAAAATTCAAAAGCACTCTTAAAGACAAATTGCTACGCCTCGCCTATTACAATATTAAGGATTTTCATTGTTGTGATACCTTTTAATACGTATTCGTTGTTTGTTATTGTTTATGTATTTGTTATTTTTCCACCAGTATTACTTATTATTATTATTATTATTAATTTACTAATTATACTAAGATAATTTTATACTTTATTATACAACACTGGTAAATCAAGTCTTATGGAAATAAAGCTATCTTTATCAAATCCGCCGACATCTTGACCAACCCAAGCCCACCACCGTGCAGCCAATGCTCAGAGAGGCAAAAATTATTAATATTATTTAATCTTGCAAACAGTGAAACTTCATCAATGGAACGCTTGAATATTTATATGTAAAATACTGTAGAAATTATTAGTAGACATAGTATGGATTTCCGGGATTTTTCCCCAAGTGCTAAAACTGTTGATTTCCTTGGGTGGGACAAACCTCACTTGCACAGGATCCAAACTTCTGGGATGGAAAAAATCTGTTTATCCTTACTCCCACATTCCAAAGATTCGGATCAAGAATCTTACTCGGATCCACCTCCGGGATGGTAACTTTAAAAGAAGAATACTGTGTTGGAAATCTTGATGGTAGTTTATACACCGACGCATTGAAAGAAAGTTGATTCAAATAGACACTGAGAACATCCTCGGCCGTTTGAGGGTCAAGTTTGGTAATGTGATACTGATGGATTTTCTGGACAGCTTTTAATGAACAAGCTGGATTCTCCATTGCACCGATCAAGACATTTGTGGACCTTGTGGCTCTTGGCAATTTTGCAAACTACTTAGAAATATTCCCGTTAACGAGCAGTAAAGCATATGGTGCTCCCTAATATTAACAATACTTATCGTTATGCAAATAGCATATCTGAGCTCAAAAACTGGAAGAAGTAGATTTTTAAATTAACCAAACTCGTATGATAGGATGAGTTGAACTGAGGTGGCTTTTACTTGATGACAATCCATTTATCAAAATAAATAAGAACTAAAAGTTCAGATTTTCACGAAATTATATATTAAGACATGACAATTATCAAATGTGATAAAGACACGGTGTTGTCGAATCAATTGTCATGTCTTAATATATAATTTCGTGAAAATCTGAACTTTTAGTTCTTATTTATTTTGATGATAGGGTGAGCTTCAATTGCATCGCGAATGACCCAATCCCAAATGGGAAGCAGGTAGAAGCCCGTGTGGCGGTTTATAATATTGGGGTGTTCGATTATCTCGATAGGCTCACCAAAATTTTCCTTGCCTAGCAGAAGTAGCAGCCTAGTATTTTGGTGTTCTGGTGTCCTGTTTCGAGACGATGTTCAAAAACCGCCGATATAGTGATTTGTCAAAGTCTGACTGATCTCTGGTGTTCTTTTAGTTTAATTGGTATTTTTATAGATTTATATATAATTTACGTATTTATATAAGACCAAGACACTTGCATCTAGCTCTTTCATCTATCCAAGAAAAATTCGTGAGTCTATCGATATAAACAAACACCAAAACAATAGAAACTGCGACACAGGTTTCTACCAGTTGTCCATTTGGAATTCGGTCATCCGAGAAGCTATTTAAGCTCCCTCTACCATTCGACCCTCAACAGCAAGTATTTAAGGAGCGTGCAGAGCAATCATCAAATCAGTTTCAGACAGCGATCCGAAGCAGCATGCTTGGCGAACGGCACCCAGACCAAGTCAACACGCAGAAGTTCCGAAGATGTGTACCTATAACATTTGTCAAGATAAATGTCCTCATCCTGAGGAATGATTATTTTAATTTGATATGTCAAGATTAGTTGTCATTTGCGAAAAACAAGTTTCAATGTCATTTTACTAGTTAGAAATAATATGAAAATGGATAATAAATGTCCAAATGACAAAACCTTATACCTGCCCCCTATAATGAAAAGAAAACAATATAAACATTTTCTTCAAACATTAATATTGGAAAAATACACAGTTATAATGTTTGTTTACATATTTTTGCTATACATGCGATACAATAATGTGGACGAATCAATAAAACTTTTTTTGAAAGTGCATCACAAAAATAAGAATAAAAAAATTTTATTACTGTTTTTATTAGATCTGTAAGTCGAATGTTGTTGATTTTACCTTTTACATTAATTTAAAATTTAGTTTGCACTTAAAATACTGTATTAAAACAAGGCGAATTATTTTCACTTTGAAAATTCAATAAAAACTTGTTTTTGTATCATTATTAAGTCTATCGCAATTTGTTAACTCTTAAGTTGTGAGTTTTGACCACGAACATAATTCTTAAGACGTTACGAGAACAATGTTTTCACTGGACGCAAATAATAGTGGCGGGAACCATTTAATATAAAAATAATTTGTTTTTTGAGAAAAAGAATTAACCGTGTTGAAAAAAATGAGAAAACATGGAGAAATGGAAAATCATTAGAATCAATCATCCATTCTGAAATAAATCAAATTGATAACGACTTTATGAATGTGATAAAATTATGTAAGATTAATAATATATAATACTATATCACCTTTCTGCATCAATTCATTTAAAATTCTTTAAAAAATGTGACATTTAAGTGTAAATGTCAATCATATTAAACGACTTGATTGATTAACAAATTTTATTTTTTTATTCACATAGGTATAACCAAACAAGTTCCAATCTTATTTTTACAAAAAATTGCTCTTTTTTACACAGTTTTGCAAATAAGCTTCCAAAAAAAAATCTTTGAAGGATTTTTTTCGTTGAAGGTGTGTATGTACCAAGGTGCTTTGGACTGGAATTGTGCACATAAGCAACAAAAATAGATTTTTTTCAAATTTGACTTTCATAACATGTCGTCTTACTGGTATTTATAGTTTTTCTCCAACCGCCTGGAGTGTTATCTCAGATACCTAAAAGAAAAATATTAATTCTCAAATACGGAATTTCAGTTAAAATAATTAGGCGCGACTTTTGAATAGCTAGATTGTCAAATTGACAAAAAAAAATCTAATTAATTGTTATCCCATTTCAAAAATTCAAAACCGAATTGAATGAGCTCAAGTTCCATCACAAACGGAAAGGCAAGGCCACACTTGTTTACCGTATGATATCATTTAGACAGTATTGATGCATTTCATAACTTAAAAAAATCTAATGCTTATTTTGAATTTTTGAAATCGGAGATTAGATGTATACAGGATGAGTCAACCCATTGATGACAAATTTTTAATGTGAAATTTTTTTTAATTTTTTTATTTTGTTATGCTACCTTTTATTTACATTCTATATTATTTAAAAAATAACATTTTGTTTATAAATCTTGCAGGAATTCGCATATTTTTTTGAAACTTATGTACTCGTATCTGTGAGTTACACTTTTCGTATAAATTTTATAAATAAAAAACACCTTGCTTTGCATTATTTTTTCTCAGTTTTTAATTTTTGGTAACATTTCCAGTTTTCCACATTTTTTTTATGATTAACATAAAAGTATAAATTATTTCAAGACACAAATTTTGTACACATTCGTTTATATTTTTTAAAACAATTATTATAGGCCTTTTCATAAATGAAACTTTTATATTATTTAATGAAAGTGAGCCAAATTTTTAAACTTAAGAATTGGTCAGAAAATCCAATTTGTTCTGCAAGTAAGTCGTACATGCCAAGTTTCAATAAAATGTGTGAAAACTGCGATATTATAAATAAAAATGTTATTTTTTTAATAAAGTGTTTTACTCCGAGTATTCCAGGAATGGGTGACAAAAATAGAAAATTGCATTATAAAAGCCAACCCATTAATCACAGATTCGTTTCGACCCTATTTGTGATTTTTTTTTTGATTTATTAACTAACTAAACTTAATGAATTCAATGATGTTACAACTTACAACCTTATTATAGTGCTTATAATTTTGATATAATTTAAAATAACTTAGATAAACTCAACGTACCTGAACGTGAGGTGGGGTAGATAGTGCATATATTACAGCATTAGCTACGTCTTCAGCTTTCAAAATGGGAAAATTTAGTTCAGAATAGGACATCGTTCCACCGGTTTTTACGTTCAGGAAATCAGTGGCCACTGCACCGGGGCTAACGCTCTACAATTTTGTAACCACGTTTTCAGGGCAATAAAAAAAGTTTTACCCAGTTTTTCTTCAAAATGAAGGTTGGATATGAATATTAAATACATGTTTGATAGTTACTCACCGTAATTTTTATTTTCAGATTCAACTCATTAATCTCAAATCGCAATGCTTCGGCCAAGCCAGTAACAGCAAATTTAGTAGCGCTATAGACGCTGCTTTTTGGAAAATTCACTATTTTGTGTCCAACAATACTGTTTATGTGAACTACATGGCCGTCTATGTTTTCTGCTTTCATCTCCCTCACTACTTCTCTGGTGGCGATACAAAGTCCAAGAACATTCGTATCTGCAAGATTCTTCAAATCATCTTAAAATTCAACTGGCTAGTTGGAACAATTTACCCAGTATTGTTCTCCAAGTTTTGGTATCGCCGTCAAAAAGGGTACTATCTAGACCAAGACCAGCGTTGTTGATTAAAATGTGAACAGTTCCTAACTCTTCGCGGATCATTTTAAAGGCTTCCAAAATATTTTCCTCCATGGTGATGTCGCATTTCACTGCAACCAATTTGCCTTTCTGATTGCTCAACTTCTCCGCAAGTTCCTCAACGCGTTCCACCCTTCTTGCCAAACCTGCAACCTACAAGAATTCTATTTGTCGCCGTGTGTGCAAACATATTTTTTATTCCATTTTATGATCCTGCATCAGCACGACTGCTCCGTATTATTGACTTAGTCTTGCTAGACGATTATAGTAGACGTTTGTTAATGTAACAAGTTTTATAAAGTTTGTTTAAGCATTACAGGAGGAGTGTCTCGACAGATTTTTAAACTTGTGTGTATGTATGTATGTATATCTCTTATTTCTACAACCAATACATTTTTAGTATAATTTTGCAAAAAAGCACGAATACATTTACTGCAATCCATAACTGGAAGCTCTCGAAATGACCCCCGATAGTATTTAATGAAACACAACTGGTTATGTATTATTATTAATTATTAACTGTATTATAATTTTGAAATGAAAACTATATAAGCAGAGCGGGGCAACGAAATAACTGTAGCGACTTACCTCGGTGCCACGGAGCTGCCTTGTATTCTGGGTTCGTCTTCGGGGTACCCAATGGTGATGCGGAAATGTTATTTGGCAAAATTAACGACCGGCGAAATGCAAAACAGGAAGCTAAAGCGGAACGAGCACAGTGAAAACTACCTTTCCAAGAGCGTGGTTTTATCGATCACCCGAAAATTAAGTTATCGGCAAACAAAAAAAGGGGAACCCGTAAAAAGTCGCCGGTAGAAATTTCGTTGCCATTTAGCGCGCAATTTTAAACTATAAACTATAAAAAACATGAAAAAATACATAAATTCTTAAAGTTAAATGAAAATTAATATTAATAAATTATAAATAAGTATGAAACTTATTTAACAACTAAGATCCTTTTCTTCCGACTACTCAAAGTGTCACTTGAAAAAGTGACTTCCAAGTATATTTTCCGTATATAATAAGATATCGCACGTGAATACGCTGGATTCCTATCATGTCGTACAAAATTCAATCGAAAATGTGTTTTTATTGTAAGAAAGAAATAGAAAATAATATTAAATGGCAATTAATGCATTCTTAAAATAGGTCAGAAGAAAGAAATTAGTTTCAGTGAATGAGATGTTTTACTTACATTGGTTCAGGAATTACAGAGTAAAAACAGAATATTAGAAGAAAATGGTGATCTGCTAAGAGAAAAGTAAAATATCTTGAGAAAAATTAACAAAATACGAATTATGTGAAGAAACCAAAGGTAAACAAAATCATTGTATCGAAGATAATCCGAGAAGTTTCAACCAGAAAGGCGGATCGCCTGACACAATTTTAGACAGTGAAGAAATAAATTGTCGAGAATCAGTGGAGGAACAACATCGACAACAATTCATTGAGGTAACAAATGACTAAGACGGTGATGGCATTAACAACACAAACATAACCGATTCGAAAACTATTACGTACAAGTAAAATAAGCTACCGATGAAGAATAATCACTCAGAACCATTAAAGGGGCTCAGTGACAACACTGCATCGCTGAAGGCAGAAAATGTCTTATTTCTTTCCGGACTTGCGCGAGAAGTAAGAATCAGGTAAAAATGTAATGGCGTTCCTAGCAAATATAAATCTTACAATATGTAAGTGTGAGAAAATGAAAACAAAAACTTACGATATCTTATGAACACAGGGAACAATACTGAGCAAAACTAACCAAAACAGCTTAGGATCTTAAACATCAATGTAAAGGTCCTAAGAAGTCAAATATTACAACTAGAGGCACTTGTTGACAAAAACGTCGATGTATGATACAGCATTGGTGTCGGAAAAAAAGATTGCCATATTTCAGACAGCGAGTATAAAAAATTGTCTTCTAGAAAGGAGTTTGTTGGTATTGAGACCGTGGTATTAATTGAAAGCGGATGCAAAAAATTTTAAAATAGATTTTAAATATTGATAAATATGAAGAACATTCGTGTGTAAATGATTTTAATTTGGATGTTTTAGTAATTTACAGGTCTCGATCTGGGCCTTTTAACCCTTTTTTGATCAAATTTAGATGTCATACTTAGTGGTCTTGGGACCAACAAAAAATTGTTTTGGCTGGTTATTTTACTGTATATTTTGGTATCAATGAGCCGAGTGAGGTACGATTGTGTGACAGCATAGATGATAAATCATTGAACGCGACTGGGTGTTTATTGGATAATGTTTTTATCAGTGGAGATATAATTATACACCATTCAGAGGTGGCAGATCTTGATATATTGGATCAATTTATATATATATATATATATATATATATATATATATATATATATATATATATATATATATATATATATATATATATATATATATATATATATATATATATATATATATATATATATATATATATATATATATGTCGGTCTAGAACGTTCTACGCCGTTTTCCGACACCTAACCTCCACTCTTCTCTATTTAACCATAGCTGGTCTGGTAATTCTCTTTCTATTAGTTCCTTTTCTATTCCCTCCTTCCAACTTTTTCTAGGCCTTCCCCTTTTATTTTTCCCTTGCGGTGTCCACAATAGTATTTGTTTCGGGATTCGGTTTTCGGGCATGCGCTGTACGTGTCCAAACCATATAAGTTGTTTTGTTTTTATGTCGTCTACTATTGTATGTTTTATTCCCATGATCTCTCTTATCTTTTTATTTGTTAATTTTTCTTTTTTTGATCTTCCAGCCGATCTCCTCCAGAAGTCCATTTCGGTTGCTAGTAACATATTTTCTGTTTTGTTCTTTAGCTGCCATACCTCACTTCCGTATGTGATGATACTTTTTATTATTGTATTATATATGGTTTTTTTATTAGTTTTGGATATACTTTGGTCCCACAAGATCCCATTCAGCATGGCTATTGCTTTTCTTCCTTGTATTATTCTTTCTTTTATTCCCTCATCTAGTCTTCCGTCCTGCGTTATTTTTAGTCCTAGATATTTATACTCCTGGCAGTCTTTTATTAGGCTTCCGTCTTCCAATGTTATATTTCCAGATGTTCCTCCTACAGTCATACTTTCAGTTTTTGTGATGTTAACTTCTAATCCCCATTTTCCATACTCTTCTACTAACTTTCGTGCCATATATTCTAGATCATCATGATCTTGTGCTAAGAGTATTTGATCATCCGCAAAGAAAAGGGTATATAATGTTGTTTCATTTAATAGTGGGATTCCCATTCCTCTGCATTTGTTCATCCATTTTTGTAAGGCTTGTTGTAGGTATATTTTGAATAATACAGGAGACAGGCAGCATCCTTGTTTGAGGCCCTTTGTAATTGGTATGGGCTCAGAAAAAGTGTCCTGTATTTTGACTTTAGCTGTTATATCTTTATATAGATTTTTGACCGCTTTTATCGCATTTGAATTAATGTTCGTTTTTTCTAAAGCCTCCCATAGTTTCTCTAGAGGTATGCTGTCATAAGCCTTTTGAAGGTCTATGTAGAGGAGATGTACCTCCTGATCTTTGGCTGTTTTTTTCTCTAAAACCTGTGTTACTGTATACAAATGGTCTACTGTTGATCTCCCAGCTCTAAATCCCGCTTGTTCCTCTATTTCTATCTCCTTATATTCAGCTTCAATTTTCTTTTTCAATATTTTACCATATACTCTACTTAGTGTGCTCGTTACTGCTAGTCCTCTATAGTTTGAGCAACTGTCCCTACTTCCTTTCTTAAAAATAGTTGTGATATAAGAGCCTTTCCAGTCACTTGGTATATCAGCCCCGTCTATGCACATCTGAAACAATTTTGTTAGATGGCGATATAAATTCTCCGTCCCGTATTTTATTAGTTCTCCTGGTATTTCTCCTGGACCAGCGGACTTTCGGTTTTTTAGGTTTTTACATATTTCTTTAACTTCTTTCGTCGTTATTCTTAACGGAGATGCTATTATTGTTACTTGTGATATTTCATTATTTGTTTTAAATTCTGTTCGGTTTTCTGTAAGTAATGTTTTGAAATGTGTTTCCCATTTGTCCATTGTTATTGTTGATATTATGTCCTTCTTTTGGTTTTGCCTTAATTGATTTATTAATCGCCAGCTCTCCGTACTTTTTGTGCCACCTAGATATGTATTTATTTTGGAGCAGTTTCTTTCCCAGGATTTATTTTTCTTCTCAGTTATCTTTCTTCGAACGCGAGCTTGAGCTTTCTTATATTCCGTTTTGTCGCCGTCATTTTTTTTGTTTAGGTATTTCTGATATTTCTCTCTTTTCTCTTTTATGTCGTTTTCTATATCTGGGTCCCACCAATACGGTTTTTTAGTTTTTGTAGTCTCATATGTTCCTAATGCTTCATATGCAGCCGAGTGGATGCACGTTTTGATATATTCATGATATTCTTCAGGAATTTGGAATCTCGTTTCTGTTAACTTCTGATCTAGACGTTTCCTATATAGTTCCCTTGTACCTTCATGGTCGAGCCCATCTAAATTATATCTTTTTGTAGTTGTTTGTATTTTCGGCTTTTCTACTTCGTGTTTGTCTCTTTTTGTGTTATGTACAATTGTGCTTCTGAGTAAGTGATGGTCGCTACCACATGTGACTCCCCTAAGGACCCTGACATCTTGTACGGTCAATTTCGTTTCTTGTCTCATAATTGTGTGATCAATAATTGATTTTAGGTTTCTTGTAGATTGTGTCCACGTGTATTTATGAATGTCCCGATGTTGGTAGAATCCATTCATTATTTTAAGATCATTTTGTTCACATAAAGTTATCAATCGATTTCCGTTATCATTTTTTGTCTCTTCTCCATATGGTCCTACTACTTGGCTGTCTCTATTTTTGCCCACTCTGCAGTTCAAGTCTCCAAGTATAATAATTTCTCTCGTTTTCCCTACTTTTGTTATTTCCTGGTTTAGGTCCTCGAAGAATTGGTCTTTTGTATTCACTAGAGAGTCGTCATTTACTCCATACACACCAAAAATAGTTACTCTGTACCCATATATAGTTAAATTCATCTTCATCATTCGTTCACTGATAGCTTCCCAAGAGTGTATGTACCTCCTCAGCTTTCTTTTTATCAGTATGGATATTCCTTGTTGTGCTCTCCGGT